ATTGTTCCTAACCCAGACGATGACATCCTGAACCACCATTCACAGAATCGGGGCTGACACAGGTTGGTTCATTATGAGCATTGGAGACATGCTCCTCTGGGATATAGCAGAGACTGCCCTCAGTGACCTGCTTCCTGACCTCCTTCGCACTCACCTATAAACCTCGCTCTTCACGGGACCCGTGAGGATTGACCCTTCAACCAATGGCAGTGTCCATGGTCCAATTCATTGCTTTTGCATGCCTGAATATGCTTCTCATTTGGACACCTTGATGGATGTTCTACTAGTCTTTGCTCATGCAGAAGTCATGCCTAGCGATGTCCAGTTGACAAATATCCTAGCTTACATTCTCGGGGTCTTGCCCATCTATCTCAGCCATTCCTAATATTTGCTATGCATATGGCATACTCAAGCAAATGAGCGTCACAGCTCTTTCTTCGCGCGGGCCTTCTTCAAGTGGCCGCTTATCTCTCATGGAGAAAACCCCCACATTCGCAACTGGGTAGTGCAATGTCCTTGTTTGCATTTGCTAATATATTTACCAATTGTACCATCCACTATATCATCAATATACATACTATTATTAGCACCCATAAGCATAATTTCTGAGGAGAAAACAAATAAAACATATCAACAGTATCTCAGCTGAAAACTGCTACATGGCTATGATCTCCTACCAAGACCAGGGCAGCATCCAAATAATAATATACTTAAGAAAGGCCTTTAATGAGCAGCTTGCATAGTCCCTCTAGACTGTACCATATGTTCAAGCAACAAAAAAGGTATTTGACATCTTGGAGAAGTTCGAGAAGGGTGATGGCTGTTCGAAATGATTATCTAGTTAACACCAGAGAGAACCGAACAGCGACGTACAGGGTTTTGCCAACTCAAGCGATAGTGAACTGATTAAAAATTATTACTCCTTCCTCTCTCCATAATCAGTAGGAACTTGAGTAAAAGTCTCCTCGGCAGGAGTGATAGTGGCGATGAAGCAGAAGGAATCTATTTATCCCAGTGAAGGGATTAATGTTTGAAGATCAAATATAAAAGAGTGGAGTTCAACAAATGCTGAGTCAATTTCGGAGATCTTGGAGCTCATTTGAATGAATATTTATATAGCAGTGAGTATCTATTCCTTTGATGTTATCAGAATTTGATAACAGAGAACATAATTTAGCCCTTGTTCTGCCAGGACAAGCACATTAAAATAACGCAATGTTCTTTTTCGATGGAAAGGTGAAGAGTCACTCAGTACCTGAAAAATGAGTGATCAAGCGGCACAGTCTGCGATAATCATGTTACGTTCGATGAAAAGCTAAGTAGATGAGCACATGCAATGTTCTGTTTAATGCAACATTGCCGCCCTGTACATGCATGCACCAGGGCCATAAAACATGAGGGTCTGTTATATCCCATCTCATCGACCCAGTAAGCTTGGTATCTTTGAAGGTACTTGAATTATAAAGTGAGAATGATGGCTTGGAAGGTCAGAAGAGGTGACGGGTAAGAGAAGGAAGCGTATGGTATGATGAGCCTAGATTAGTGAAAAGATGACAGACTCGTTGAGTAATGATACACTTAGGGCAGAATATTGACATGATACCTCGGTCATTGTTGTCGTTAAAAGGCTTTGTCACTGGACTGCTGGGAGGGAATTGACTGGAGAAAGGGGAATAAGTTGCTTGCGAAGTGAAGATGCATGTTGGCTTGAACTCACGGTATGTAAAAACTGCCCGCGTCCATAGAACGAGGAAGCATATCAAACCAGAGGAAAAGGGATCGCCTACAAATGAAGTGAAAAATGTTACCTTCAGGAGTAATGTGAACATACCTGAACCCAATTGGCACAAAAGCGCATTCACCATGCTCGATCAAAACTGCGACAGACAACCCTGAAGATGTTTAGAAGAAACGTGCGAGTAACAATGTATATCCTTAATACAACAGGATGGCAGTGATAAAAGCTTCATGTCTGAAGCTTTCATTACTGCCTGGAAGGTTTTAAGTTTTGGGACAATGCAAGTCTGACTGTACTCACATGAGGGTTCTGTACTCAAGAGATTGAGGAAGTGCTCGCTTACAGATAGAGTTATTATTTATCGAGGCAACGAGAGCTGCATGGTTACGAAAGTACTCAAAGACGTCGAATAAGGAGTGTGATGGAAGAAGCGACGGGGAACGCAGATGATTCTTGAAAACACAGCCTGAAGCAGGCCATTCCGATAGAGGACTTGGATGAATGCCTGACAGGATCGAGAAAGATGGTTCAGTAAATGAGGCATAGCACACATATGAGCACAATAATCGCCGCATTGACAAGCGCGAACCTTGGAATTGTAATCTTGCATTAGAAACAGTGAAAGCAACTGGCAGAGAGTGCCAACAGGGAGTCCTGTCAGGGACGATGTGGGGAGTGATCGGTGATCGGTCGGTTATTCATTTGAATTTCCCAGTCGCTGATGACCACCTTGACTCTGACCACCTTCTTGCGACAGAGTTGTCTCTCTGCAGGTGCTTCCTCTCTGGCCCATATATTCTTTCTGCCCACGATATGATTCTTCTCGAGAAAATGCCATGCACCATTCTACTCTTTTGGGCACCTTTATGTCGACCCTGCCTAAGACTACACGGGAACGATACATGAGGGTCTCGTGTTCGAGTGCTGTACACATCTAGCCGGGGTGCTGTGGGATGGGGCCAGGTGAGTATTCCCTTCTTTCACACTGACTGTCTGAGCTCTATATACGAAGGAACGATTGTCTTCTGAAAGTATCTAGAGGCTGGAAGTGAGCCTATATCCGAGTGTGATCTTTGGCTTTGGAGGTATCCCGCCGGCACGTTCTGCACGCTTATCTTTTACGCGAGACTCTCTTCCTTAGTGCAGATTTGTAACGGCCTCCCGCTTATTTTTGCTGTCTTGCTTGTATCTTTACATCGAAGAGCTACAGTATATATCTTAAAGGCATGACTTCAGCGCCTCAACCTCATACACTATCAACAGCTACCGACAGATGACACTGGTTCAGTACTCTCAGCTTGACGATTTCATTCAAGAGCTGATGTATTCGCGTTTCTCTGTCTCTCTCAGTTGAACCGTCCTCGTCTTGTTCTTGCTTGTGTCCCGGTGTGTCGTGTTTCTATGGCCATCTGACTATTAGTCCCTTAGTGCCGACTGGAGCTTTCATATGCAACTATCCGATTCGCCATGCCCCTTCCGATACTCTGTCTCACGGATACCATCAGTGACCGTGTAGATGGTGGGGGTATGTGCTTCAGGGCAGGATAGACGAAGCTGAGGGAGGCAGGAGGACGAGAGTGAGAAGATTCGGCAGTGATGGTTGGTAGAGGACCTCCCGCCGCAGAGGTCTGACGTTGCAGCCACTCTTCACGCAATATCCACTCCTTGTTCTGAATACTACACCATTTCTACAGCGCATTCCCCAGTGGCTTAACATCCCCGGAGAATGAGCTCTTGAATCGCTTCATATTCCCCTCCATTTCATTCTAGATGACAAGAGATTTAACTTCGGCCAAACCCCCTCATCCTGTTTCGAACACTCAATTGCTCACTATCACGCTCGATTGATATGCTCTTAATCGACCTAATCTGGACATGGCTGTTCGATCTGCCAATGGTCGTGCAGACATTCATATCTACCAACAACTCTTCTGCACCGTCTGTTATGAGAGTATTCAAGCTGGTCAACACTTCCTGGGTTCCCTGTGCTTGTTTCCAAGGAGCACATCAAATCTGATTCGACGAGGGGACGAGATTCAGTGGCGACAAGATCTCCCTCAATGGTCGATGAGGTATTAAACGGCAAGACTATGCATCAGCTGGTCCCAACCATATCGACGCCAATGGTGCGTAATTATCGTCGAGTGCCACTCTCACTCATGTAGCGGAGTTTATGAATAGTTCGCGCGAGGCCCAATTGCATGTCAAAAGGATTTCGGCTTCTCAAACAAGTTCGCCTCTTCGTAGTCCCATTCCTGGTACTCTCCATTCCTCACGACCTAAACTCTCCTCGACCTCTACTCACTTGCCAATCGATCTGCACCTCCGGTCCCACACGACTCATTGCCCAAGCCGCTTCTCTAACGCCATCCCAACACGCTGCCTCATTTGCCGACATCCTCATGCGGACCAAAACTCAGCGCCCAGGTCCAGTTACAGAGACGAAAACTATTGAACATCCTGGTTTGGCTGAAGATTGAGTACCTCAGCGGTGTAACCTCAACGTGACCAAACGTGGCACCAGCCAAGTTTTCCCCCGCTACACCACAACCTAGTTTGCAACTAGCTCCTGGGTTTGCTGGTGGGACTGTAGGTCAACTACTCATTTATCCCCTGCGATCCTCCAAGAAGCTGCTCCTGCGGTGACGGGAACTGCCATTGAAGACGAGGATGGTGGTGCGATTGCGGCTGCTACTCTGGAGAAGCTCAGGGAGAAGGTGGTAAGGAACGAAACGCAGACCTTGGAGAAGCTTCATACTGAAGTAGGGCTCTCTACAGCAAGACTCGACATGCTGGAAGAGTGCGAGATTCAGTGTACCTAATTATGCGTAAACTTGCTAATGACGAGTCCGTTAGTGATCCTGTCACGTCTACGTCGTGAAAACCCCTGCGGCTGACAAGAAGGTTGCTATCAACGAGATGGACTTTCGAGTCAGCTAAGAAGCAAACTGACGGTCTAACAACATTCATGTTTTGAACGTGTCGCAACACACAGTATCGTCAATTTCCTCGATTCGTACTCTTTTTTTGTTTGTTTTCCCGATTTTATTGTCCCCGAGAGCCGCGCCCTATGTTAGACAACACTCGATTCATACTCGATGAGGAGTAATGAACTCTGGGTACATGGAGGGTGAGGCTGTGACTGATATTATTGAGAACAACAGTCTAGACAAGGATCAGGTTTCCAGTATCTGTCTCGAGGTGAGCAAAGTCATCACCGATGATATTCATCTCTGACTGACTGACCAGCATTGGTATTTGATAGACGTGTAAGGCTCTCGGTCACCTACATTCGAGTGTCATCTGCCGTGATTCGATAGCATTCTGTTCGACGCACGAGGGCACGTTAAGTTCAGTACATATCTCCATTTTCTCTCGTTGTCTATGATGCTGACTTGTGATGAAAAGACGATCTCGGTTCTTGTGCCAAGGCTCACCGATCAAAAGTCGAAGCTGGCAAGCACGGTGGGTACCTCCTACTGGATTGCATGGGAAGTCATCAAGCAGAAGTGGTATGAAGCCAAGGTTGACATCTGGTCGCTGAGGACCATGGCTATTGAATTGATCGAGCATGAACCACTTTACCTTGGCGAGGAGCCACCGAAGGCCTTGTATTCGATCGCGACCAATGGAATGCCTGTACTCAAGGCCCCGAGTCGAGAGTTGAAGAGCTTCTTGAGTGTGTGTCTATGCGTCGATGTGAAGAGCAGGGCGACTGCGGCAGAGCTCTTGGATGTATGAAACATTTCATTTCTCGTGTATCTTCGCAACGTTGACTTAGAAATCTCGATAGCACGATTTTTTGAAGAAGGCTTGCGCGCTTTCTGGTCTCGCACCCCTTCTCCGGTTCAAGACCAAGCAATGCTCATAATCGCATTCGGGATTGACCCGTGAACTTTACTTTCATTCGTTTCTGGGACGCTCTGGTTGTCTATACGTCTTCACCCTGCTAATGATTCACATTCCAATGTCACATTTCTGCTTACACTGTCCTTTCGTTCCCTTGTTCACTATTCTACCTTGTCTCCATGTCGAATTCACCATACCTCCAGTAGTCGGTCATTCCTCCACCGTTTATTTTCTCTTCACCACCATCTATCATATAGCATGCACAAATCAGCAAGCTGCCATACCCCTTTTCCTTTTGTCTCCATGATTTCTCTTTCTTCCCTTGTTTCTTGTCTGTCTAGGCCTCTCTTCATGTCTTGGAAAAATGTAGTGTACTTGTGAAGTTTGCTAGACGAAGGATACGAAGGATTCTGTTTACTGTATATGAGCCTGGTATCTCTCAGTCTATCTATTCTATACAACTGTAATCCAAAGATGCAAGAGGAAGAAACTAAGTATTAAATGCTACTCGTTACTGTCGCATTTGTGTTCACTACTGGAGTAATTATTTGTTATACTTGTGACGCTGACATGTTGGTATGGCACTGTTCGAAGACCAGACTGTCTACAGCAGGCTGCTTGGTATGTCCCCGGGAGTGACGCTTATGAGGAAAGATGACCTTCGTGACGACACCGAAGGCATGACGGTACCGATTGCAAGCCTCTGCGGAGAAACCGAACAATGCAAAGAAGATGAACGCGCAACCGATCTGGTACCACTGGCTTCGAATGTTGCTGAGATTCGTTGCCCAAAGTTCATAGGGCCATTGGTCCACTCGGTCAAAACCGGAATGTAGGTCCTCGAATCCTCTCCACGGGTAGTACCCTCGAGATACCTCGACCAAATCGAAAATACTGAGGGGTGTGGTGCAACACATCTCGACAGTAGCCATCGCAATCAGTCGATAGTATTGGTGTAGACTGACTTCGGAGGTAGGTGAGAATAAGTCTCTGATTTGCTGATGGCGTTTAAAGACCGCATATAGGGTCCTGGCTGTAGGCGTACTGTATATCAGAACCTTTCTTCCGTATTGAGGTGCCAAAAAGTTTCATTGTGTACTCACCACAGTATACTGCAGAGATGAGACCAATGATGATATACCATATGGACGTCAAGCATATGAACAGAATTGAGTTGGGAACGGCCGCATAGCAGCCAAGGCCCTCGTAAATGTTGAACCGATGTCCTTGAACAAAATAGACTGGAACGTTATAATGAATTTGAACAACGTTATATGACATTCTGGTCTGAATTCGTACTTACAGCTGATGATCTGTGATGCCGGGGGAGACATCCCGATGAGACAATCGATACACCACTCCCGGCGCTCGCTGTCTACTGATAGGCTTGTAGTTGTCGCGATATTAGAAATGCGGCGAGCGATCACCAAGCCAGCGGACAATATTCCAATGCTGCCCATGGGTTGGAGTCTCGCCCCTACACAGACAAGACTCAATTTAGACGAGTGCACAAGAATAGAAAAAGAATTCTAGCTTACAGATATCGCACCACACTGGTGCAAGATTCCTCGCATTATCCCTCCAGAGAACATCGTTCACGAATGTGAACAGGCATAACAACCCGACCCAGAAAATGTATAGTATACAGCCGATATTCCTAGCTGAACATATCAAACATTATATGAAGACTAAGAAACGACCAGACTTCGTACCTTTGACGAACCAAGGCAGGGGAATCATTACGAGGATGAACCCCAGAAGGGACAGCCCAGTCAGAAATCCTTGATGAACATCCCAACTTCTCGGAATTGACATGTTGGACGTCAAGAACCTGTTGGGCTGTTGCACGATGATCGAAAGCTTAAGAACCTGGCGTGCCGGGGACCAATGATGTACCCTGATATGGTGATCACTAGCAATTGCCTCCGAACAGATGATCTGTCATGATGCAGATGAAAAGATCGCCGTTGAGGTGCAGGTACACGGCATAATGGATTAGCCATATTAATGTATCAAGCAAGCAAGGGAATAGGCTGGGTTAGCTATATTCGAAGTGCTAAATTGATACGGCCGCAAAATCACTTGAGGATTGACGCGTGTAGCCTACGCAGATAATTGATGAAGGTAAGGCTATTCACGGAAACATAGCACTTGATCATAAGAGATGCGGCGAGTGGTGGGCAGGTCTCGACTTATAGACTTTCAGCAGCATATGCAGCCATATCACCGCCATTTTGAGCCCTCAAGTGGTGAATTATAGAAACATAGACACGCCAAAGGCCTCCGATGGGACCCCTCACTCCCCGTCCCTTCCCAGGGAGGGAAGGGACGTTATAGACTTCGAACAGGGTATACGCAGCTATCAGCATCTTGAGTCCAAAACGAAAAACTAGTACGTATTGCGGTCAGATCATACGGATATAGACATGTCGGAATCCTGAGTGATCTTCCGCGTCTCTGGAGCATGATGGCCAGAGACGGCTAGATGTAAAAGCTCTTCTGTATGCGTCAATACTGTCAATTACGGAGAAGCACATGTCCAATACTCACATGCACTCAGAAATCGGACACCTTTCCCTTATAACTCCAATCGCCCTCATCTCCCCACTTCTTCACAGGCTCTCTCTTCGGGCCCCCTCTCTCACCAGTGACAGGATTAACGTCACCTTCGAACTCTGGTGTAACCGGAGGTCGAGCATCCGGGTGCACAGCATTAACATCTGCACCACCACCGTTGGCGAGCGGTGTCTGTGCTTTGCGGACTAGTTCTTCAAACTCTCGTTGCTGGGCGCGGGGAAGAGGAGGCGGACCGGGACGATTCAGAGGGTCAGGCGGCGATGATGACGACATAGACCTTGCTGATCGAGATAGCAGCCCGTTTCGCAGCAACGTAGAACGTGTTATGTTTCTGCAAGCGAGTGCAGACATGGTGTAATTATTTTGCTAGAAACGGACGGGAGCAGTTTGATAAAGGAATAACACGGTACTAAGCTCAGGAGCGTGCCGTTAAGAGAGGGAGTATTTGTACATGTTAGGATGTAAAGCAATAGCCGTATTAGGCATATTCACTTCAAATGTGGCGGAATGTAGTCACCCTTCTCCTACAGTAACATCAAACTCAAAACAATCCGCAGCTCTCCCAGCGTCTCTGCAATATCCTACCACAACCGACGAGATCAGAGCGTCCGAATAATAGTACAGTCGAGATACCCTGCTAGCCTGTAGGGCGTATAATTTGTTTAACACACCGTATGTGCAACGCGAAGAAGGATCTGGCATCTGGAAGAAGGTCGAAAAGGATGGAGATGACAAAGGAACTGTCTGAAATGATTATCTAGTTTAGCACCACAAACCAAAACCGATCAGCGACGCACAGCCTTTCGCGAGCTCAAGCCATAGTGCACTATGTAGAATCATTGTGAGGCATCCTCTTCCCGTAATTGGTAGGAACCTGAATAAAAATTCTCGCTGCAGGAGTGATAGCAGCGCGGCAGAGAAAACGGAAGCCATTTCATAAATGAAAGTGCGATGATGAAATGAGGGTCAAACGCGAAGGAAGGAAATTCAATGAAAATGATTGAATCGACTTCGGAGGCCCCAAAGCTCGTTCGAATCAATATTCATATAGCGGAGAGCGTCTAGTGCTTTTGACTCTTGACTCCGTTTAATCTGACCTTGACAATAGAGAAGGGAATCGGTGTTCTCTGTCTGAAACAGGCATAGTAGAATATCGCAGATTTCTTGTTCGATGGGAAGACGATGAGCCGCTCGGGTGCCCGAAAGCGAGCGAGCAAATGGACACACTCACTATTGTCTGCTACACGTATGTCATGTTCGAACAGAAGGGTTAAATAGACGAACACGTGCAGCGATCCGTATCAACGGACAGATTCACTTCGCACACCATTGAGGCCCTGCAAATGTACGCACCAAGACTATAGAAATGACGGTTATAGTATATTCTATCAGTCCTCGAAGCTATTTGGAGGTGGAAAGGGATACTCGTGGCTTGGTAGGTGGGAAAGGTGATGAGTAGGTAAAAGAGAAGTGTAAAGTATGACCAACCTAGATTGGTCCAAAGATGTCAAACTCATTGAGGGATGACGCACCTTGGGGCTAAAGTTGACAGGATAACTCGGTGGTGGTTATTATTCAAAGGCATCGTCACCGAACGACAGGAAAAACATTGACTGGAGAAAGAGGGGAAGCATTAGTCGCGAAGCTAAGAAGACGATTCACTTGTACTCATCCATAATGGATAACCCGTTTGGATCCAAGAACGTGGAGGCAAATTGAACCAGAGATTCACCAACAGACAAGGTGAAAAAACATCATCTGCAGGAGTAATGTGAACGTACCTGAACCTGATTGAGACACCCGCACGTTCTCCATCTTAAAATTGTACAAAATGATCCTAAAGTCATTCCCAGTAAAGCTGCGAGTGAGTCTCTTTGTCTTCGGCTTACATTTCCATCTGGAAGGTTGCAAATTTCGTGACAATGCAAGTCCGTCTGTACTACTCACATGAGGGTTCCATACCTAAGATAGCAAGAATTCGTCGATTACGAGTAATGTTATTTCTGACGGACGCAACGAGCGCCGCATGGCAGTGAGTGCTAGACAGACGTCGACTAAGGCACGTGAAGGAAGAATTGATAGAGAACACGGATGACTGCACGAAACACGGGCTGGCTATTCCGGTAGACGACTTAAATGATTGAGAGAGCCAGAAAAGAAAGGTCAGTAAACGCGACATAGTGCACATGAGCGACACACTGATCGATGCATTGACTCTGAGCACGAACCTTCGAACTGCAGTCGCACTTGATGGAAGACCAATTCACGGCGCAACACAGGAGTGTCGGCCACACATGCACAGTAACAAAGACGTGGTAATATGGGCGAGATTCAATACCATTGGCCGGTGACTATGATTGACGAAGACCAAGAAATAACCGGCAGAGTGACTGAGAGCGTGACAGTCGCGGCATCAAGAGGCAGGTCATATATCTGTCCATCGGGTCTTCGTGAGGCAGAGATGAAGCGTGACAGTGAGCTATGGAGGCACAAGACCGAGTCATGTCCTCGCAGAAGTTGAGCCTGATGTGAGGAACGTCGTGCAAAAAGCTTGGGTTCGGACATAGGACGGCAGCAGATTGAACGTCGTAAACTACCATGCTGGAAGGGAAAAGAGTGCATTCCAGGCGTGAACGGAGATGGTGAATCGATTGGAGGAGACTAATGGCAGAAAGAAGTCGGACAAGACTGGTATGAAGCTAAAGCGAGAGACAACGAACGTCATACCTGGAAGTGGCGCTGTATGCCTCGCACACAGCCATAATCCAAACATGGATTGATAGCTTCAGCGTCCTAGCATGAGATTGAAGTTGATTCATGCGAGCATCGATGGGGCTGCCCGGAAAAGCGGGGGCTGAGGGTCGAAGGAGATATCAAAATAGTTAAAGAACGAACTTATACAAAGCTGTGAATTGCTCAAGCGTAGAAGCCAGCTCTCGTACACATGGTATCGACTGAGCGAGTGAGAGGTAAGTCGAAAACAGGCAAAGCAGACTCGGCGCTAGAGAAAGAGAAGAAATCGACACGCGTGGGAGTGCCTGAGACTCAGAGCCAACAACGCTCTCATGAAAGACCATAACGAGTACATAAGTACTTCACTCCGAACACAACTCTGTTTTTGTAGCAGGTAAAGCTGGATAAGTCGAGTTCAGGCAGACCACTATCCCCCCAAAGCCTCTCAGTCAGGTCATGAATTATGAAGCTGCGTAACTCGGTACGTACCCTTCCAAGAGCGTAAACAACACGATGTCCAGTTGCAGGTGCTAGGGTCTCCTTCATGTCCTCTGATATCTGTCGCTAGCAATTGTTCGCCGCTAACGGCTATTACCAGGCGCTGCGATCGATCAACGCATTTTGGCGAACAGCCAAAGGTGGAGATGACATCAGGGAGCCGTTTATTGACGGTTGCGTCACTGGGCCCGGATGCGGATCTTGTATATAAATTCTGCACTCAGGGGCTGCACTAGTCTCTTACTGTAACTTGCAACGATGACTGGCATTCCCCCAACCATTCCCCAGGATACTACCCAACCCCATACGCCCGCGCACGAGTGGGCCAGCAAGACGACCTCCATGCTTGACCCCGACACTACTAATACCGCCTCTAGCATGAATCCAACCACCAAGGACATGCTTGAGCTTGAGCACCCGCCGCCTGCTCAGGCGACTCTCTCAGGTTCCAGCGCTGCGAGTACGCCTGGATTCCCTGGTGCATACCATGAAGACCGCGAAGAGAAGGCAGGCGTAGGAAACGTCGACTTGAGAGAAACCGCTCACCGAATGTCCCAGAGTGTTCAAGATGCCGCCCAGTCTGTAGGCGAGACTGCGGCTCAATACCTTCCCAAGAGCGTCGTCGATACCGTAGCTGGCTACATGCGTGAGTACATCCTATTCGCTTTCAACTCAACCATACTCTTCCCCCTTTTTCGTCCTTCGCGTTCCCTGCGTTCCCGTCCCTTCACTCTTTACTCAAGAAGTGCCATTCTCGTCTGACACTACGAGGCCCGAGAGATCACTCTTTTTCTCCCTATGTACATCACGGCGTCTTCTGCTTTCGTCGTATGCCATTGGCGAATTTGTCTTTGGGCGCATTGGTGATATCATTCTCATCTCCTTGGTCGAGAAGAGCGCATTTACTCAGCCCATATTCCTTTCGATTTGCATGTATGTGTCGAGACGTTGAAAGACGGGTTGTTCATGTCACACGATATATTGACTCACGATGTGAATTCCGTACCATACTCTCCCATTCCAACGACATTCTTTTTCGTAGGTTTTGTCTTTTTTTTCTATTGCGTTTGCTTGTCTCGATTGCCTATCTTGCTCCCATGCACGGCGTCAGGAAGCCGCGACTATTAGGAGACTTAGCCAATCGAGATATCTATTGTTTCATTTGGACGCTTTACATTCCTCTTTACATTTTAACTCACTTCTCCGCGCATGTCGCTAACGATATAATATGCAGCTGCTCGTCCGCCGCCCGGTACCATTCGGGCATCCGAACATGACGTCCCTCATCAGAAATCCCTTCCGAGTACTGAACTCACCGGTCAAGGCTCTCACGAACACGTTGCCGGCGTCGGGGCTCTTCCAGGTAGCATCTCAGAAGTTAGTGTCGCAAGGCTTCCCGACGACCGTAGTCAGACAGCTACTCCAATCCCGACACGTCCACAACCTGCATCCGTCCGAGCGTCCACCCACGACGTGCCTCACCAGAAATCTCTTCCTAGTACTGAACTAACTGGTCAAGGCTCACGTGAGCATGTCGCCGGCGTTGGTTCGCTACCTGGTAATGTGAGTGAGACCAGCGTCGCAAGACTTCCAGACGATCGCAGCCAGACAGTCACTCCCACCCCAGGTGGAACCTTAGGCGGTGTTGGTGCTGGTGCAGGGTTGGGTGCCGCGGCCGCCACATTTGCTACTAAGACCAAGACGTTTGGTAAGTTCGAGAATCGTTACCTATCTGTATAAATGCTGATTTCGGACGCAGCACCTTCACCGTTGGGCGCTGGAGCCAAGAAGGAGAAAGAAGCGGAACTCCCGACAACGGAAGAGCCCTCGATTTCTCGTCAAGCGGGTGTCGGTTCGCTTCCAGGTGGGAAGGACGAAAGCGGCGTTGCGAAGTTGCCTGAAGAGAAGGCTTCGTCCGCTACACCTGCCGCCGCCGAAGAACCCACTACCACTTCACCTGCTGAAGAACCAACTGCCACTTTACCTGCTGAAGAGAAGACTCAAGTCCCTGCAGAAACGCAGAAGGCTGAGGGGCTGAGCGCAGAGAAGGAAACGCAGCTGGGTGGATCTGGCGCTGTTGGCGCGAGTGCAGTAGGTGCAACGAGGGAAGAGGAGAAGGTTGGTGGTCAGCATGGCAAACCTAACCAGGTGGGTGTCATCTTCGGATTCGACTCGTTTCGTTATGTTCTTTTTTCATTTGTTTTCTTTCTGTCTTCTAACGCACACTCGTTGTCCCTCGCCCCACTTGAACGTCATCTCTTTTGTCGTCGCCATCGTGCTTTGCGCGGCATCTTAGGATGGTCACGAGCCTCTGGAAATGCACGATGACGAAAGCGATCGTCGAGAGACTCGCGATCGTCATCATCATCAGCACTCCAGACCTCACTCCCCTGCCTCGTGTGCTTCCTCGCAAGGGTTGGTTGCCGATCAACATCATCCGACTCTTGAACCGAGGAAGCATGCGTTGGGGAGTGGTGGTGCGACGTGGTTTGGTGTGAAGGTTGATGTGGAAGGCGCGAGGGCTGAAGAGCCTAGTCAACTTGAAGAACGTGATGGTGGTGTGGGGGAAGGTTTGGAGCGGGATGGAGATGTGAGGATTCTCTGATACCCCCTTTCTCGTTCTTTTTTCACTCGTTCTTCTATCCGTTTCTGGAGATGTTTTGACGAATGAATCACTGACGACAACCTTACGTTATATAGGGAACTGGCTATCAGACAGACTACCACCCCGCCGAACTGCATCCTCCAGGAGAGCAGCCCACCACCACCAGCGCCACCGAAGAAACTCGTGCCGAACAAGCAAAGAAAGAGGGCCCTAGCGAGAAAGCTCACGAGATGCCGAAACACGAAGAGCCTGCACCTGTAAGCCCTGGTAAACATGAAAAACATGAAGGAGAGGGAAAGAAGAAGATTGGGTTCATGGAGAAGATGAAGGGCGAGGCGAAGGTTCTTTTTGGGAGAGTGGAGGGAAAGAAGGGGGAGGCGATGGTTGAGGAGGGGAAGAAGATCTTGGCTGGGGAGAAGCTTGAGAAGGTCAAGTCTGCGTGAAATATGAAGTTTTGGGGATGAAGTGAAGTAAAGTGAAGTGAAGTGATTGTAATGGACTTGATGTTTGTCTTGGTTTGGAAGTGTACTATATCGTTGGTCTGGTTTGAGCTGTCGGACCATACCAAATCTTGAATGTATATGTATGCTGTAACGTGTACTGAGTAGTTTTACATGACACAAGTTTGGTTCGTGCTCTTGTGACGAGTCCCATGAATTCGATTCCATTTGTCCTGGTGCTATGGACGTGCAAGACATTTCTCTTCGCCATCGGGGGACCTAAATCTCACCCGTTTACTTACGAACATCTTTGAATATAACTTCACTCTTCAGACTCTCGCGCCGTATCCCCGTGGAGCTCGGGTCCATCGTCACCTTCTTGCAACTGAAGCAGGTGCGTAGTGGTGAGAACGGCATCTATAGGTGACGGAGTTTGTGGACCAATGAACGAACGAAGGTCCTAATTGGCACGATGGTTTGTAAGCGTCATGGTTGCTTTGCCAGGAAACGGGTTCCGGTTTGGGAGCCAGATGGGTGGGATAGCTATTACTACGACCAAGCGGGGTAATGAGGAACTGTAGACACCTAGATACCCTGGAGAAATTGAAGAGAGCGCGATTGGTGTGCCGTTTCTGTGGGGTAGGGAGATCGTTGCAATGACGTTTCTCTTGATTGGGATGTATGCGGGATGTTCATGTTTATGGTATCGTGTGCCTGTGTAGGTCCCATTCCTGTGGTGGGACTGTGGAAGGGCGTCCGGTAAGGTATGACATGGGACGTTTCAACTCATCGTCATGTATCCTCCTCGAGTGAATCCCACAGACCCTATTCATACACAACTCGCAAAATACCTCTCGCGGCCATCAAGGGGAAAGCACGTCGAATGGCTTCAGCCAACTGAGGAGGGTGAGCGTCATGGATCGGTGAAATCAACCGACTGAAGATGGACGCATCGAATGTGGGTGATTGAACGACTTGTCTTCGGAATAATATAATGCGGACTTCCTCTAATCGTCCAAAGGCAGGCGTTCTATAGAGGACGTCATCGATTTTGGATGGTTCCAAAATCGCCAAATCTTTTTCTCTTGTGCTTGGCCAACCTTTGAACGTGATCGTGCGTAGACGTGTTGAGGTTATTTGGGAGAGAATGAGTGGAATCCAGTGAGCGTAGTATGGCGAGGCATGAGCGACGTTGTGGGTTAAATCCTCGAAGATGATATGAGAAAGGTTAGACGCCATCGATATCCCTGTATCCGATGATCCTGATTCCGCGAATGTTCGATTAATATGCATTGAGCTCTAGGTACTAGTGAGAAGACACGTACCTGAGGCATTGGACATGTACCAGGTGGTCAAAGTGAGTTTATCTAAGAACGGAGCAAGTAGGGGTAATACCGCAGAGAGCAGATCGGCCAGGATGGGACATCTCAGGTGAAAGGATGAGGGTCGATGTTTGGCTAGTGCCTCTGCGATTACAATATATGATTGTGCAGCCTTATCGAGCATATATCTAGGTCCCAGTCGCAGTGACAAGAAACGGATGTTCTTGCCAGGGAAAGGGTATTGCTCTGACGAGAGATAATTGAGAGTCGACTTTTGGCCATTATTCACCTTGTCTGAGTTGGCTGGGTCGAATAGACTAACGTCTGACATTTCCAAGCTTTCGAGTTGGGGAAAAGATGAGATGAAGGTCAGGAGCGTGTCGAGTGTGTCGAAGTGAGATGCTTCGAGTACAACCGCACGGACCGATGGTACGTTCATGGTATGGTACGTTGGCGATGTGCTGCAGGAGTGAGATGTGTAACCATGTGTCTTCGCCTCGAAGCCGTGCAGAGAAAGCCTCTCCAGGTTGTACAATCGACAAATGATTATCCGGATGATAGCGTCTGCGCAGTCGCCCTCCTTCATAGGCCAAGCTTGAGGCATTGCTGACAATCCATAGATTTTGACATGCTTGACAAGCCCGGCAACGCCAGTGGAGTACATATCGAAGGGAATTCGGCCACTTCGCTGGTCGATATCGATCGCTATGGAACAGTGGATGTGGTGTTGGCTGCGGTACACCCAATCTCGCGAAACGAGTGAACAAGCTGGCAAGGATGCTGGATCCAGTATGGCGACCCAATCGATGATCCAGTCAATCAATTCTTGAGCAACAATAGAGGGAGGAGCCTCTGACGAGATGGAGTTTCTGTTGTGGGTCAAGAGGATGCTCTAATACCCAAAAATAGAAAACTACGTACGTAGTACTGAACATCTGTGATCCTAAATCGACTGCTCTGTTCATCGAAACAGCCTCCCCATTCATTCTGTCTTGGAAACGCTCCATGAAGGAAGGGTCGATGGTAAGCTATTGGCATTGTCAGCTGCAAATGCTCGATGGGTGATAGCAAGCCCGAACGTGCCTATAATAATACGGCTTGATCACGAGAACTACATAGGAATGCACAGGTGCCCTCGTGACGTGTGCAAATGAACTATTGGTTTATAGGGTACTCCCTTCATATGCAAGTATGACTACTGGGAGCAAACGCTGAAGCACTGAAGGTGGAAAGACGTGAATAAACGTTGCGCCTAGCGAGAGAAAATCTGGAAACTGAAACCAACGGAAGGGGAACAAGTAAAGACAGATACACATTCGGGCCAAGATTTTCTATTCAGCCGTACTGTACTTTACAAGACTCACCGGCACTATGAGCTCTAGATCACCGCACATACCTCAAGAGGCTTCTGGAGTGCACACCGACGATGGGTCTACTGACGGTCGTCTCTGGTACGCACACCAATGAAGGGCCCATTGAGGGACGATTCGTATAAATAAAGCACAGGGGGAGGAGGAATCACTCATATAGAGCGTGTTATCCATCTTTTTACAGAAAATATAGAGTAACGAGAACCATTGCGGTTTCGAGAGTCGGCAGTCAGAAAGAAAGCACGAAATGAGCGCTTACACGGAATATCTCAAGGCTTTACTTTTCACCGGCAAGCGTACTAACGGGTAACCGGTAATCCCTCGTCGAGACTTTAAAACGCGTCTTGCTAGTACTCTAATTGCTTCTTATACTGCCTGTTCTAATCTGCGAGCTTCAGAAAAGTGTTTTTCCTAAATATCCTCTATACGCAACGCGATATACGGTATCTCGACGCGTCTAAAGACTGAACTTGAAGTCGTGGCTGAATCCTACCCGAAAACAGTAAATTCGGCCCTCACCTCTGTACATCTGGCTTTATATAGGTGGAGAATCTTTGTCTTCTGATATCCAGTTATGCTCGGTCTCCGACGCGATATCCAACAAAGTGCGGCCTTCACGCCCCGTGCATACCTAGAGGGACTCAAACTCCCAGCCAACTTCACGCTTCCGCCACTCTCTGCTGTGTATGAAGATGCAGTAAGATGTGAGTCCAAAGTTCCTCCATAGCGCGTCGACCCTGAGAAAGACGCATTTCTACAGTGCCAGAACTCAGGAAAAGCGGACCCCCAACCATTCGGACAGTCTTTGTTCGAAATGGCGCAGCCACTACCCTCAATCCAACTGGAGCATTACATGAGCCCCTCGCTTGGAACACAACTCTACCAGACCTGTTCAAGTTCGCGTATTTTGCGCGCACAGAAGATGGTGCGTGTTTCTCATCATTACACAGAATATTATTTGTGAGCCATTTACTCCGGTTTAGTTCCTGTTGAACTGATGGACCCAGTAATTTGGGCATTGGGGATGTTCATACGCGCCTTGCTCGAAGGAACGGAGTCTCAACTGCGCGCAATGGGCCATATCTTGCCGCACCAAAAGGCTGAAGATGCATTGTACTTCATGGTAGAAGGCTTTGCTTCCGTGTTTCATTACGTTCACTTCCTTACAGATGCATTAGACAGCCAACGCGCGTTTCAAACTGATTGAGCACCTCCTGTATGCGCCTTTTTCAATCTCGTGTATTCGCCTCTTCCTGATACATAGTCTCCAACGTTGAAGGAGCCCCTTTATCGACCGACCTGACGATGCAATTCCTCATCTGAAGGTCGCGTTAGAACAGGATAACGCCCGTCGCGGCGAAGTGAACGATAAGACCGATCCCTATCAATCAAACCCGTGTGTTTTTGCCGGACTCTTCCGTCCTTTCCTCACATACTGAAAACTTCATGAAGGATGCTCTACGTTTTGTATACGGACGCGCTGGTCTTCAGCAACCAATTTGATAAGCATACAAGAGATGAATTGAACAAAGTCCTGCATGCCGTCCAGACGACAAAGCTCAGGAAATCAGCGGACTTCTCATTCATCATTCTGAAAGCCCGAAGTCACCTGGCCCTAGTGCTACAACAGATGGGCTCAGACGAACAAGAACAAAAAGAGTGGGCGTGCCTCTGCTTTCTTTTTAATACTGTCTTATACGTTTACGGTATTTGTTGTCCTCCAGGCATGTCGAATATTGCGCAAAGTTCCTCCGTAAAAATCCCAAGCTGGTCCCAGAACGCTCCCTACTGCAACTTTTGTTCCGACGGGACCAGCCCATTCATCCCGTGCTCGAACTCCTTGGCGGGTTATCTTGGCTGAAGGGTGTCATAACTAGAGAAGGTCTGACAGCACGGATGGAAGAACGCCAAACGAAAGCTTGTCGATATTGTGGCGGGCGAGAACCTCAGGTGACGTTATTCAGATGTTCTGGATGCAAGCACATTTACTACTGGTGCGTCCCGGTGTATCATATTTCACCGAATTCATAGAATTGACGTTGTTGTACTTAGCTCGAAGGAATGTCAGAAAACAAATTGGAAAGTACATAAGTCAGTGATTTGTGTTCCATTATGCGTTCGTTTTTAACGCCTTTTCTCTAGGGAAGCGTGCAAGTGAGTAGATATTGTGCGAACTGCCGTTGAGTCAAATATTAATACACCCTCTAGAGAGGCAGCCGCGGCGAAGGTGAGAGCAGCCGAACTGATGTCCTTTGACCCTGAAGCTGGCCAAAAGGCGACAGACTGGATCAAATTCAGAGAAAGTCCAATTCCGGCCAATAACACCCTTCTCGCGCATGCTCTCGGTCTTTATCGTGACCCTTCTCGCGGTCATACACACATCGTATTCAGAGAAGTCGAGTACCGACCCAAAGCATCGAAAGACTTCCGATTCAGGTTCCATGCAAAGAGAGCCGGAGTATTCAAGATCGAAGACGTGATGATGGAAATTGAGAGGATGATGGGCTTGAATCCTGGTGAGGGACCAAAATATGTACGTGAAATTTTGGAGGATCTCGATGCTACGAATCCAAGACTGGAGAAGGCTCCCATCTTGAATATAAGTTTTGGAGATGGGATTCAGACGTGGCTCGGATCCGGTGAGATCAATACTGCTGTTTTGCTTCCGCGTCGAATGAAGAAACTAATGATATCACCCACTAGCCGCTATCTCGGTCTACTCATTACGCATGACTCCGCATAACCCGAGATGGAGAGAGTCCATGAACCTTGGCGAACCACCAGAGCCCTTGCTACTCAAGAGTGGTGCGCAAGATGTAGAACATGTTTTCTAGAAATCCCGCTATGTAAGCGTACATTTTGTATCATAGTCAAGCTGAGTGTTGTATATTCTTGGTGACCTTCGATAATTATATGCCTGTCCACGCCCTTTATGATTCTGCGGAAACCTTTGAATTTCGCGGTATGGTAATAATACGGGAGGAGGAAGTTCAGAGTAGAAAGGTAGTCGACTTTTTATTACAAGGGCTTTGGCAGGTTTTTAATGTGCTTCATTGCTTGCTATTCAGTTATAGTATCAATGTTTTTTCCCTGCCAAGCTCAAGTCTGCGAGGACACGACACTGCCTTGTGCCTCTATAGCGCACATCACTCTCTTCATCTCTGCCTCATGAAGACCTGGCGGACAGACAGGTGATCTACTTCTTGATGCCGCAACTGTCATCATGGTCTTCTTCTACCATTCTCAGTTCTCCTTTCCTCTTCTGTTCTGTCCTTTTGATTACATCCTTCTCTGCAATTGCATTGCGTCATCTTGAACAAGGACTCGCCGGACTCGCTATTTGTCCTCCCAGTCATCCAAGAAGAGTCATGAGTGTTCACCCGATTAATGTACAAAACAGAGATGAAGGGCTTTCATTCGAAGCCTGATACGTGCGGTATGTGGGCACAGCGAGGCTGTCCGGAGTTTAGCCTTCAGTGCTGAGACATATAACTGGAGTATGGACTTTGATTCCCAGAATCTCCCTTTTCTCTCTCTCAACCCTCCTTAAATGCTTTCTTTGCAACTTTTGTTCTTTTCACAGATTTTGACATTGCCATGTCTTTTCATCAGCAATTGGAAACCAGAAAGCGATCCTTGGGACTTAAAGGTTCCAGACGAGTACAGTTTCTTGCACTTCAACAATGTCGTGATTATTTGGCTGTGTTTTCTATAGAGATCTTTGAGCACATTATTGATTATGTGAGCATAGCTGTTGCTTACAAGCCTTGTACTCTATTTATATCTGAGTTGAGAGAGCTGCTTTCTGCTCTGAAATTATATGCATTAACTTGCAAGGCATGGAAGCCTAGAAGCTATTATTATCTCTGTCAATTTGCCTTTATATTTTTGCATAGAAAACCAATCACTGTCAGAATTTTAAATACACTTCAAGCCAATTCTGATCTGCAATCTTGTGTGCAGTCACTCACTATTGTTCATAGCAATCATGAAGATGTTTCTTTGGCATTTCTAGTCAGAATATTAGGATGTCTTCCAACTCTATAAGCTTTGACTCTTCATGGATGTGAATTTGAGTAAGTTTCTATCTCATCTTTCTTTCAGAGAGTTTTTTCACCACTGTTCATATCTAATTAGAATATGTCTTTAGTTTCAATTAACACATTTTATTTATTACAGATGTCAAATCTCACCTCTCTACATATAGAGTAATGATATGATGAATCTTAAAGAATAGAAAATGGCTCTTCTAATATTCTTGCTCTGCTATCTACAGTATCATCTATAAAAATAGAAGAGATTCATCTTATAATATGGAGATTGAGATCTAGAGATATGTAGAATTCTTCTTATAATGCTATATTAGAAATTTGTAATAGACTGGATGAAAAGTTTAGTAGTGCAAACTATCAACAGTTATTACAAATATACTGGTATACAGATGCAACAATTGATATAGAACACTATTTTCCAAGATGTATCAAATATGAGATATTTCAAGTAAGAAAATATTCTAGGTAAGTAATTTTTATATTTATATATAATAAAGTATCTAAATAATTATACTTAGAGATGCAGAGAGTTGGCAAAGTTTGCATATTACCAATTACTTGTTTTCATTGTAGATGCCTCTGATCTTAAATAATTATACTTTTTTTGAAGGATCAACTTTATACTATTTGTTTCTATGGCAGATTTTTTCAATATCTATTTTAATGTATATATTTGTAATGCATATAGTATATCAAACTAATCAAATATTTTACTTGAAAAATTCTAAGCAGTTATAAATGCAAACAAATGCATGCTTACTTAGTAGATAAATCAAACTATGCATACATTAGTATACTTACTGAACTTCTTCAAAGACAAAAAGCAATAGAATAATGTTACATATAACCTCTATGGCCATCTTCTTTTCTCAGTTGTCTGATAGATACTTTCAGATGCTTAACTTGTGTTAACATAGATAGAATAATATAATTCCATAGTAAAACAATTTACTCATATCTTGATACAAATTACTATCATTGAAGAAAGGGCCACTGATAGAAACACCTTTTCTATAATAACTTCAAATAGAACACACACTTTATACAGCCATAGGAGATACAGACCAAATGTACTGAGAAAAATTAGTAGAAGTGAATGAAATATTGGCCTGCCACAATATTTGAACACCATTTTCACCTTCACTATGACTGAAATATGTAACTTCATAGTGAATCAAGAAACTTGTGACAATACTTGAATTGGTACCATTGAAGCAACTGCTAATCTTTCAGTAAATTATCCTAGATGACTGAAAGGCAGTGATATATGAGTAGACTAGTGATGAGTCCAATTGTAGCCTAGCATTGATACATAAGAAAGCATAAGTCAAAGCTATACATTGTGAATCATTGCTTGAGGCAATTGAACTCATGACAGAGGTCCCAGAGAAAAAGAAGACACTGGAAAGAATTTAAATTCAAATTCTTACTAAAATCAATTGAGAAATGATTCTGCTGTAGGCCACTACATAAAGGGAGAGGAAGGAGTCAAGTGGCGCCGGTCTCCAAGATGATGAGAATACATCTGATTGTACACGGAGTATCATACATTGATAATTTATTTCAAGTACGTGCAAGAGAGTAAAGTCCAACAGTGTATAAATGTTAAGTGAAATAGAAGGTATCAGGTGCGATGCGGTATAGGAGATCCAAGACAAAGAAAAATGATGCGGTATTTGATGAATGCGAATCTAGAGCAAAAGATTGAAGATATCTCAGAGCGAAGTGGGCTCCGACTTGTCCGGAGGGAACCTAAGCTTCGCAAGCAGAACAGTATCCCACTTTCCGCTAGACCTCACAATCGACACCTTATTTGCAGACTGGTACCCGGGAGCTTCTTCAGTATAGACAGGCCCGCCAAGGACGGATGGTGAAAGGTCTGTCGAGGTCGAGAACTGACCCCAAGGTTTACCGGCCTTTGGTGACGAATATACGTTGAAATTCACCTATGGCAAATATGAGTATAGTCAGATCGGTTTGGGAGAAAAGAAGGTAAGACGATGACCGACCTCTCCGTCTGGGTGGTTATGACTGACAAATAGAGCATAGTCTGCAGCGTCCAACGTCCCAATCACTGCATGTATCATGAGTACCCCTTATTTTTTAACTAAACGGACCGGACACTCACCGAGGTACAGATCCTCCTTCTGAATCCCATGCCCCGCCCCATACAGCTCTAGGATATGGTCAACATTCGCCTTAAACCAGGCCTTCGGAGTGCCAAGATCTTCGATGTACCGATAGACCGTCGACTCGGTGAACAAATGCGCTGCCTTGTGTCCCGTCCGAATAGGCGAAGAGTATCGTCGACTCACGCTCTGACTACGATGGGAGTAAAAACCGTCAGTAAATCCAATGCAGATGATCACTCCAAGATACTCACGGAAACATCCCGTCTCCTTTACTCCTGGAAGTGATCCAAGACTGAAGGATATCCATCCCACGCTGAGCGACATTCCGCTTATCAATCCGTTGACTTCCTTGGATTACTCGTCCGTAACCATAGAGCGATGGAACGCCTTCAGCAACACCGTCCGAAGTTTCTGGCGGCTTGAACGAGTTGAACAAAGTGACGAAAGTACCTTTGGGCTTGCAATGGTACCCTACAGAACCAAGGCCAACGACCGTGGGTGACCACAAGGGTAGAGTCACTACATGAAGGACGTGAGAAAAGCGCATCAGGAAACGGTAAAGGGGGAGGAAACGAACATGAAGGATGAAACTCGTGCTGAAGCAGCATCCTGTACCTCCTCTCGTTCCTTGCCTCCGCTATGTTGTCGTCCACAGGCGGAGGAGACTGGTACCCAGACTCAGCCACATGTTCATGATGGAACTCGTACTCCGACTCAGTTGAAGGCGTATGAATGAACAAGGATGATGAGCGACTCTTAACCGGGGAATGATGATGCGAATGTTGTCCTTGAGTTGTAGAGCCGATATGAGAAGACGCGTCTTCGCGAATCATAGAAAGCTGATCGGTAGCTGTCTGATATGAATCGTCGGTGAACGAAGGCGAGTGTTCGTTGACGATTGATGCAGTCGTATCAGCTACGGAACGCCATCAACCGGGGAACGTCATGCCAGTCGATATAATCACTTACGAGGAAGAATGGGTAACGGAATGGGATGCATGGGTGGTGATTTCCTCTTCAAAGGGTCATATTCAAGATCCAACGTAGATGCAAGTGGTGTATCCCTGAAATCTCCACTATATTTCGTGCGCAACTGTTGGATCTCAGCATCGATCTTGGCGAATGACGGTCGATGAACAGGCGAACGATGCCAACATTGACGAAGGATTTCAGCTAGTTCCATATTCCACACGGGCTGGAGCGGAATTGCAGGGCGCATGTTCTCTTCTGCATATATTGACTCAATAAGACGAAGACGAGAATACAAGGAAAATAGACGTACTGAGGACGAAATGACGAACTGCATCATCGTCAGCCATGGGCCAGGGCAAAGCACCTTTCGTGAGGATTTCGACACAACAAATCGCAAATGCATAGACGTCAACTTGTTGCGTGAGTTTACTCTGACCAGCCATCAATTCCGGTGACTGCCATCGCAGAGTGCCGTCTAGACATCCGGAGATCAGTATATGTATATGTTCCTCGCATCTAATAATAACTGAACAAAAAAACACTCACGTGGTAAGGGTGTTCCACTTAGCCTGTAAACCTCGCTTTTCAACTCGCTCTGTCCAAAGTCAGAGATGACGCAATGACCCCGATCATCCACGAGGATATTGGCACCCTTGAGATCACCATGTAGCACGCCCTTCCCGTGCAGGTACGCCATACCCTTGGCAATCTGGTGAATCATCCTTAGAATGTCCACACCATCCAATGAATCTAGAGCCTTCAGGTATCGAATAAGACTCCCGTTCTTGTAGTAAGGACTGACAAAGAACCAAGGAGGGTCTCCACTTGTAGATGAAGCACCGAGGAGTTCCAGGACATTTGGATGCTTCAGCGTCCTCCAGATCTTCACTTCATGGATAAAGAGCGGACGCGGTGTGGCTTCTGCTAGAACTTTGATAGCTACGACACTGTCTCGCCAACGACCTCTATAGACATCACTGAAAAAACCGATGCCGACCTTCTCCTCACGGTCCACCTCGTACCGAGTGATCGTCCACGAAGGCAAGGTGAGATCTGTACCTCGGGAGAGAGATAATCTACGGAGTGATTCGATACCAGATTCGATGAACTCTCGGTCGAGCGTGTCTCGGGAAGCACGAGAACGTCTACCCATAGCGGTTGAGCTACCCGAACTGGAAATTGTGCTGGACCTCGATAACCCGGAAGTTGAACTTGGTTCAATGGTCGCACCCGCGAAAGCACTAGCTTCTTCTTCGACTCTCTCTTTCTCAACTACGATTTCCAATGCTCGCTGTAGCGTCTTGATCGCCTCAGGCATTTCATCCCTCCCCACCTGTAACACCTTGATCATCTCAACATCATTGTTAGTTTGCAATGCCCCTCGCATGAGCTGCCTCAAATCGGCAGCGTCTCGGAGTGTATCTCGTTCATTTTGCAGAGTCCGAAGAGTGGTCAGAATATGCAATGGGGTTGTATGAGCGGATGCGAGCTCATGAGGAGTTCTATCAAGTTGCAGCGCGTTGGCAATAGCTTGTGGCACAGGTGCACCGGTGATCACGGGCGTCCTGCCACGAGAGGAAACCTCTAAGCGTTCGAGGGAGGCTGTTATGGCCGCCATGTCCGCCTCCCGTTGCTGCTCTGCTCTGAGAATTTGCTTTAAAGTTCTGATTTGGATTGACAGCTGAAACGAAATGAATATCCGTCAATTTGATTTTGAAATTCGCGGGAAATAAACGTACAGAGAATAGCCCGAGCGCATCGGCCAAAGCCTGACCACAGCCAGCAATCTCACGTTGGATTTCATCCCGTTTGAGGTACCGTTTGAGGAAAGGTCGGTGGGCTTGCTTGAGCAAAAGGTTGTGAACTTGAGTGAATGCACTATAAAGGGTATGAGCCACGTCGCGAGGATCAGCCACCTGTCAAACTCACGCGACCAAACGTTCGACGGCGCTCTCCAGTTCCTTCGCAACCTTGTTTTCACCTGTCTCCAGGATCTCGTCGCGAATCGAAATGAGAATTTCAGCGCAACGTTCCGTGAGACGGAGACACGCTAGACGGTTCATCTATGTACCCGTGATGAGCCCTGCTGACCATGACAGATCACTGATTCATACTCACATCGACCATCTGAACAGCATCCCATATATTCAATAACGTCCTGGCGGCTTCTTCTAGCCCAACCACAGGTGCAAGTTTGAGTAGGTCCGCTGACAGTACCAAAGCTTCGTGTGTGACATCTAGCGCGGTATCAAGTGTGGTGGATAGTGCTTGAGCAATTTTCTGGGATGCATTAGCCGAAGCACCATCGGCATACCAATGAGAGAGCGTACCTGGCGCGTGTGCACCCAGCCTTCCATCTGTTCCTCAGGGATCGTCTTCTTCTCTTTCCTCTCAGACCAGAGTTCTCTCCACCCAGAGCCACGCTCATTAATCACGGCCATTGATGTCGAACCCACTGATCTCGCCGGAGAAACTTCCCTCTCATGACTCCTCATGGGTGAGCTCCCACCAGACAAAGATTCCCGTCTCTGCTTCGACAGCATAGTCTCGTCCCACGGCCAAGGTCTAGCCTGTGGTTCTCTCGATCCCCACCAAGTAGTTGGAACACCATTGGGCGGCGTTTCTCGACCTTTGCCGTCGTGACGAATGGGTGAATGGTCTACTGGCGAAGGTCGACGTGGAGACGTAGAGCGAGATGGGGTGGAGTGGTACCGACCACGAGGCTTGAATCCATGTAACGGTATGGGCAGACTTGAAGTAGACTCGGCAGGGGAAGCCGATTCCGAGGTCGCCGCACTTGACACTGGCAAGGATTGCGTTGCTGCGATGAGCTGCGGGACGTCCGAACGAATTGTAGACAATGAAGCACCCCTCCGTCTGCCACTAATGTCAGAGTTTCCAAGTAGAGTGGGAGAGTCCGGTCGGGAGGGAGGTGTTGGAGCAGGGATTGTAGGAAGAGGAGGTGTTCTGGTAGGTGGAGACGAAGGATTCAGTGGAGAAGACACCTTAACAGTTGAGCTGGAGCTCGAAGATGAAATCAAAGGCGGAGTAGGAGACGTGGAGGATGTTGTAGACGACATGGAACTTGGAGAAAATGGCTTTCTGCTTAGCTGTGGGGATGCAGGTGGTGGTGGTAGTGAAGAAGAAGGGGAAGCGCGTTTGGATATAGGCATGGCTACCGGATAGCGCGTAGTCGTTTACGTGTATCTATAAGTGATGTATCTCGCGTTATAGCTGTCACGACTATCTACAGATTAGCAAAGTAGGCAAGGTAGAGGTTTTCAAGGTCCACATGCCAACTAAAGGTGGTACTCACTCGGGGCCACGGACAGGGTGCAGGGACTCTTGCTCTACAAACACTCCAAAGTCTGCGTGCAAAGCTTGGAGGTTGACTCTTGTACGGTGGAAATGTTAAGGTGGCCTTGTGTCCCGCGAACACCGGTGAATTGGAGTCGCATCACCATCGTGCAGCGCTATTTAATAGAATGTTGAAACACTCACAGCTAGGCGCAGTTGGAGGACGTGCCCATGTAGAGCATCTATCAGGACTCGAGTCACCTACGACTCTTTTCGATCTAACTCCGGGGGCTTTGGACAATGATGGTTGCAGATCGACGACTGGATGTGGCAGTTTTGATGTAACTTAAGTGCGTTATACGCGCCAGCAGTGACAATCTAACTGTCAGCCTAAGCCACGATCTCCGGAGTTATCAACTAGGTCAGAGCCAAGACCCTGGACGTTGTGTGTCGTTGTAAAGCTTAGATTACGATCTGCAAGAGAGTACTAGTGGGAACAGGTCAACCGCCCGATGTAAAAAAGCTGGGCTTTTATAACTCTATGCTCCAAAGATCCGCGGGGTATATAGCAGGAGAGAAGAGGCTAAAAGAGTGCACAATAGTGAGCGAAGGGGGTCAAGCAGGGCTTGCACATGGGTTTGAGAATGCCTCTTTCGGCAACTTGTCTTCGGTTCGCGAATATGGAAGGTGCTGTGGTTCGACTTCAAATTCTATGCATGGCCACCATTCTCATCAATCTCATGTAGGGTAGTTGAATTGCACCTGACTGGTAATGACTGTCCGGATCTCAACATGTCAACAGACTACACATGTTCATGAATTGCTTTCAGTATCGGTGCAACTACGGGACATAAGTGGAGCCTAAATCCGTCAGTCCATTCACGATCGATTGCCACTAACGGAAGCAAATGTTATAGCAAGTACTGACTCTCTCTAGCTATACGCTCATGGCTATGCGGTAGGGCCCGTATAGTCGGTCGGCTCAGGCGGGCGACCGACGCATATATGGGTCATAGCATACATGAATGCCTGATCGACGACTTCATTTTGATTTGCTCACCCTCCTATACTACTAGCTATCAGCTTGTATGAGATACATCCTCGCCCGTGTTGCTTCGGACGTCCCGGGGAATGGGACCCAACTCTATCCATGCACCGTACACACCTGTACGTGCCAGACTACTATTTCCTCGGCCTCGATCGTGATCGTAGTCGGATCCCGAGACACCCAAATATGGTCTTCAAAGCTCTCCGTGTGGACATGCTTGTCAATTACGAACCCTAGAATACTAGTCACACGTCTCTATACGACATACCTTACAAGAAATGTACGTCGTACGGCTACTATAGCACTTCATGCTATTAATACGTTTAGCAAGGATCACAATAAGCATGACGCCATTCCGAGCAAGGGGCTCTGGTGAAATTTGAAAGTCGGGCCCTCGGTATCCTCGTATGCGATGTGGTTCCGCATGCTAAGACAGTTAGGCGAAAACTTGCCGGGTTCTCTGCAGTCAATAGTCCAACACGTCCATTGCAAGTCTTCAGCTTCATGTCATTCACCGGTTATTCACCGGCTACACCACCTGTCAACGCGGCCTGTAAACAACATCCCTCAGTCGCCGGTTTCACCCAAGGTTGAGAACAAGTATGATCTTATTAGAATCTGCTGGTTTTTACTGAAGGACGGTCAAGAATTCTGGACGATATCGATAAATGCTTACAAGCAGTCAGAAAGCAATGATCTGTGTCCTGGATTACAAGGGTCGAATTCGGTCCGTCACCGTTGCTTTGAAACTGGCCGGGAAACGCCATTTTCTGGTCTATCCAAACAGAAATTCGGTGTTGATTCAACATTCCTGCAGGCGACCATCAAATGATTCCACCAGTTGAAAATCGCCTTGCTTGACCCTTGTGGTGAAAACCACCAATGGTATGTACTGTACATTGCGCACAATCGATGAGTGGTGAGCACGTAGAGTACGAAGATACATACAGTATATAAGAATTCGCACTTGCCAGTTCATTGCCGATGAAATCCATACGAACGAAAACGGCGGAACCGCGCGTATGTACTGTAGCTTGAACCCAAAAGGAACGTGAGACTTTTATGAATCTTATTTATCATAGATGTGTTTGCGTTACCGACGGCCGGCCAACCTCGACCTCGTCAGACCCTCCGCTATTCATCCTTTTGGCCGGCCGAACCTGTCTATCCTGAATAAGTCTGGCCACGGGTACCAGTCAGCACAAATGTAAAGCATCGGAGGTCTAGCAGACAAGTCGGAGCCCATTCGCTCTGAGATATCTTCAACCTTCTGCTCTTGGTTCGTATGTATCAAATACCGCATCATTTTCTTTTTCTTGAAGCCCCTATACCGCATTTCACCACATACCTTCCATTTCACTTGACATTTGTACACTGTTGCTCTCTATCACATGGCTATCATGGAATGTACGATACTTTTGTGCAAGTAGATTCAATGTCGTCATCTTGCAGACTAGTTGGCCTTTCGAATCGTTCAGCAGCCTAGAATAGAATCGATTCCTCAATTAGACAGTGGACTTGCCGAAACGTTCTTCTATGAATTGAATTTGAATTGATCATAATTCAGAAATTCCCTTCTGCTTTCCGTTACGAGTCCAATCGTTCCTACAATAGCGGCTAGGTCGCATATGTTGCACTCATGAAGCTTTGAAGGGTCGATGGTGGTCCAGGCATCAGTCCGAATGTTGTCATCACGGATGTGTCGTTCTCAACTGCGTCTTGTCAAGGGCGCAGCTGATTTCCGGTCCCTTGATATTTCACGAGCCGACCTACAAGTAGTCTCCGTTCATTTCCCTAGGCACTTTCTCGACTATATAAAACGTGTTGGCTAGTCCGCAACACGTTCTACGCTATCGCCATCGCTCTTATCGCATCAGACCAACGCGTTCCGAGGAGGTGGTCCACATCAGCCCTGACCTTGCCCTTGTCTTCTTTCCTTCCGGAGTCGTAACTGTCAATCCATCACTTTACGACACTTACGACCGCCTGCCACAATTCCCATAATGTCGAGCAATCTGGTTTCCCGACTTCCGCTCGACCAACTTCTGGCCCGACTACGACCTCTCCTTCTTGTCATGCCAGGATTATTGAAGGTGTTTGCTGCTGGAGTCGTACTGATTAACATCAGAGGGTGGCCTTTCGCCTGGCATTGTGAGTAATCGATTCCCCCGTTTTCAACTGAAAGCGTGTATGTTAATAAACGTCGTATAGTCCGAATATACTTGCTTGCATGGTCTGTTCGGCTGCGGTTCCTATTCGTGCGTATCGGTCTCTTGCTCAAGTCGAAGGAAGCGAGGAGGAAGGCTGAGGATGAGTGGTTGGAACATTTGTCACCTGTGGGATCGAACCCGTTCGAATGGCGAAGGTCATTCAAGACTTGGGCAGGTACGTAATACTCCCGATCATCGTTACAATTATGGACACGTTCTTCGAAACTTGAAGCATAAGTTGGATTCGCCTTCTAGTGGGAAGCGGAGGCTCGTCAAGAGATAGTGGGCGTTGACGTGTTAAATGGCTACCATAGCCATGTTGACGGCGGGCTCAGGGCTGCCAACCGGAACAGGGCGCCATGGTCCGCCAATGGAGGTGTCCACTTTGATATGGCTGTCATACTCCGAGAAGCCTCAGGAAATTATATGCACCTGGGACGTTTGCTTTCATGACCCTCAAACCTCTCGTCAATGTTGGCTTGCGCGTTCTCCGCACGCAAAATAAAGATGTGGCAGGTTTATCTTGCCACACTATAGAGGTCAAGTCCAGCGTTCAGCTTTCAAACGTTTCACTTGTTGGGTCGCTATGTCTTCGTATAGTGGCGAAGGAAACTTGGGCCACATTATCGGGAGCCTCGTGGATTCCTTCGTCTTGGAGCATGTCAACGATTTCTAGATTGTATGGCGAATTCTGAGATGCTATCCACAGTGAATCCCATCGTTTGTTTCATGGATCTGAAATACCTTGAAATTCATGCTGATACTTCTGGTGCAGGCCCTGACGATTCAGATTTCAATCTTCATCTCAGTAATTCATCCTACGCTAAGGTACATCTTGCGCTATCAGTTTTCCGCGCTCGCTTATAGCCTCTACTGCAGAATCTTGACATGTCTCGTTTCTCCGGCTCTTTGAGTCTTAATCCCACCTTGTATCGCGTTGGAGGATGGGTAGCTTTAGGAGGTAGGCTTCTCCTACATCAAAATACTGTATATCATCGACTAATGATAGGTTCTTACCTGAAGCAACGCACTTCAAGTACTTGAGGGAGATCCCAATGCTCTCAGTGTATGAAATGAGGTCCAGTATCGCAACCTGGGATAGCAAATGGGTATGTATACTACGTTTCGCGTCTTGTGTCTGTTAACGATTTCTTCCAGTTGTACGTTATTACTCGCTATGTCACAAAGCCCAAGGAAAAGGACTTGAAGAAACAACGAACTGTCAGCCCTGAGCAAGCACCCACACCACTAACCACAGACGCACCCATCCCTAACCTCCACACACCCGCCACCCCAGGCCTCGTTCGGGATCCTGCTGACACCCCTCTCAAGCGTCTCCTGGCCGCAGCCGAACTTCTCGAAGAGCCGGATGACGCTACCCTGCACTGTATCGCCATCTCAGAATGCTGTTTCAAAATCGGTCGAATCACTATTCCTCCATCACTAGTCTTGGCTGTAGAAGGTTTCACTGCCCCACCCGCTATCACTGAGCTTGGGAAAGGTGTAAAGTTCGAACCGTACTCCCATGCGAACCCTCCACCACACTGGGAAAAAGTCCGAGCATTACGCACTGCTCATGATTTGAGGCCGTTGCAGACGTTCATGAAGGGTGGATGGAAAAAAGTTCCGGAGGACCAGAGGTGGTGGGACTTGGCGTTGAAGGGTGTTGAGGGGAAACGAAGGGCAAATCTGGAGTTGATTGATGGTATACACCAGGGTATGGAAGGTGCCAAATATGTTCGACCTATGTAAGTAGATTATAGATGTTGTGTGTGTACTTATTCGCGAGTTGGGACTTCGAAGCTCACCTGATACTCCCACGATCTGATGCTGATTAGCCTTGTCGATGGGGTCAGACGTCGAGGCTCTTGGCAATAGATTCTGCTTGTTTCCCTTACTTCCCTGTATTCCACTGGAGATCTCTTGCCCCTCCGGCCCCTTTCCTGCTGTACAGTTCCCCAGCCGGCACGTCGGCATCCTCCCCTTGCGCCACGCGATCCCCCCATGGGCCAGCCCTTCCTTCCGGCTCTCCCGCCTCAACTCCGAAACCACCCGAGGTCTTTCCATTCTGGGAACGTCCCCTGGCGTTCCCCGATTTCCTCGGAGTACGCCCCCGCTTCCCCGCCTCCCTTCCCTTTTTGGACACGCGCGCGTACACGTGCTCACGCGTCTCGCCCTGACGCGTCGCGTTGTCTTCCCACAGTCTTAACCTTGTACTCACCCTGCTTTTCTCTTACTTTCTTGGCTTCTGCTCTCCTACGGCTCTTATCTCTCCTTATATGGGTACTGGATCCAAGTCACGCAAGGGATTATCCTCATCAGTGCGGGTGCGGGCTCCCAATGGCTTTGGGCGGGTAGTACAGGAGGTCCGCCTCAACACACAAATGGCTAAGCGAAGGGAGGAGATCGCAAAGAAACGGTATGACCGTCTCACCAGTACGCCCCAGTCATTAACGTTGCTTTCTAGACGCCTTTAAGTACTGACCTTCACAAGCCTTGACCTTCGAGGAGCGCGAGGTTTTCTTCAATGACAACGCGACCGATGCTACACCTATGGACATGGACGAAGCCTTTGCATTCAACCATCTTCCTCCGGGTGAGGAGGGATTCTTTGCTAGCAACGCTGGAGGGGAAGAAGAGCTTTGTCGTACCTTCTTCTTGTCCAGTAATGACAGGTATGTCCCCTTGCACAGTCTCTGACATACAAACATAATTGATATCTCCCGGCAGGAAGCGTAAGGATGTCCGTACGCGGCGCGATCGCCGCCTGTTGCAGAACAAAGAATGGGACGAGCAGATGTCGTCTCTCATCGACGCTTTCCTAGACTGGCAGATGGCTCCCTCAACGGATGTTCACAGCACTGCGCAGTTCAATGACTGGGAACTTACAACAGTCGACTTCTTCAGTAAGTACCATGGTCTATGTTGTCGCCGCTTATCTGATGTGTTTGTAGGTAGAAATCGCCGCCGCTTCAATAGTGGTCCATCGGTTGACCGCGCCAACGTGGTACTCATCCGAAATGGCTACATTGGCAGCGCTCCCCGTAGTCCGACGGTGGCTATTAGCCTTCGAGTGCTAGAGGCCTACCACGAAATGCACGCGGCGTGTCCTCGCTTCAGTATACAGGCACAAGTGCGTGCGCTGTGCCGTCTTCACAAGGTATAGTTCTTCTCCTAGTCTTTATGTCATCCACGCTCATTCAGTCCCTTTAGGTCCATTACATGAAATATCTGGCGTCGCAATTCCGTATTGCTTATGACGTCTACCTTGCGATTCGGCGGTGCGTCGATGTTCGTGCCAACGCGGCGTTGCACCGTGACACACCAAACTGGCGCATGAGGAACGCATGCGCGCCGTGTCTGTACACGCTTGAGAACGAGGATCCGCTGAAGTTTGCTCTACAGGTTACAATGGATGGGAATCAATCCTTGAAGCTCGTCGATGACCACTTCCGGAGGGGGCCTTCGCTTGCAGACACTCGGAGTGGTATCTCCGATATCTGGCTGACCCCCGCAGAAGTGGATATCTTCAAGAATGAAGTGGGAAAGCCACAACAGGTGTGCTTCAAATTTCTTTCTTTCTCATTCGCTTTCTGACGCAGAGATACTTTGTCTCTCAGGGCCAGCGCAACGCGGGCGACGCCCACGATATTGACGATGATATTGACTGGGTCAATATTGCTGATGATACAGATTCGGCCGAGGCGACGCTGACAACAGACGAATGCGTCAAACGTTGGCGCAATGCAGGACCAGAAGCTCGGAAGAAGATGTTCGCTCTGTTCGCAGTAACGGGCGTTTTTGTATGTCTCTGTCGCCATGGGCAGCTTCTTGCAATATGCGACATGATCAGGAGTGGTGAACTGTGAGTACCTCTGTTTCCTTACATTTGGTTGTACATAACGATTTTTTTACAGGATGAAGTACCCACTTGCCATCGTTGACAAGCTCATGCGGGTACTTGGGGTTACAGTCCAGGTTGCCTACGACATCGCATGCGCGTTCATGAAGATACTTGAACGGAGTTCGTTAGGTGACCGAGCACGACAACACGGGCTTCGCGGTATCGTTCCGTCCTTTCACGGACATGCGCACAATCGCCTTTGCCAGGTAGACTGGCATCCCCTCTACGTCGATGGATCAGGAAAAGAGGACTTTGAAGGTTGCGAACGAGTCTTCTCGCAGTCGAATGCGTTAGCTTCGACAACCCGTTTTTCCTCACCCTTCCATCGTCACCAAGCCATTGACGAGTTCTTCAAGTCTTGGAGCTTCGTCAAGCACGCAGAATTGGGTTTGCATTCTAACTTGTTATTGCATTGTTCTACTTGCGCTGATGCGTTCCTAGCCAACTTCATCCACAACAACTACCAGCAAGCTCTCAAGATCATTGCAGAAGATTCAGCTACTTTGAGGGAACTGTGCGTGCGACTGAGGCTCAATGACGAAGACTTTGAGCGGTTTCTCCAGGAAGAACGAGCTTACCTGAGGAATTTAGTGGCGGAAAGTCCAGAAGTAGTGCGCACAGTGGATTATATGGAGGCACTGTTGCGGCTCGATGGTGCATCGTACGTAAAACCTTTCAAAATATTTCATTATTCTGATATCTCTCCAGCGCTGAGTCTGAGCATGCAAAGCGAGAGTACCAGAACCTGGACGCAAGAATCATCCGTGAAGGCCTTCGTGGAAGGGCTATCACCAACATCAAGACCCGCTACGTGACCACCTACACACGCTATATCGACCTTCATGAGCACGTTCGTCGGATTGAAGAAGTGCATGGGATTGTCGAGCGTTGGACGAAGGATTCGGAAGAGTACAAGAATGGCTTGGTGGTCCTGACCGAGAGAAAGTACAGAAATGCGGTCGACACGTTGGAACGATTATTGCTCCAACGTCTCCTCGAGTTAACGAAGCTCAGTATGAGCGGCACAGGTGTGTAATCACAATCCTATAATGTTGACACCACTTTAAGGTCTGTATAGGTTACAAGATGCGCGAGAAGATCACAAAGGCACTAAAGACTCGAGCGACTGCAATCAAGAGGGCCCTTGAAGAATATAACCGGCGTGCTGCAGAGCTCAACCCACCTCGACCCTCGCTTTCATGGTCCGACGTCGTCGATATGGTGTCCGTTGCCGAGTTTGACCTCCTTCGTGATGCTCGTCAAGATGTACGTTCGCTGCCTTGGGCTCAACCTGCTCAACGGCGAGCAACAAATTTATACTTCAATGTCAAACGAGCGGAGGAGGAAATCAAACGCCTCAACATCGAGGTTCGTCGACTCCTGACGCACATGATTGACGAGCATGTGGACTACTATCGAGCGATACAAGACAACATAGTAATTCATCCCCCACTGGCCCACGAACTATCTCTCAGATGGCAGTACTTAAATGCTGTCAATGCTGAGCTTGCCTATCGCCTTCAACAGACGTCAGAACTGCCGGGTTTCACTGGTAGTCTTCAGACGGGTCGCGGAGTCGGCCGCAGTCCCATACTGGCTGACGGGATTCCACTGCCACCATGGGCCTCATTACAAACTCAACTTACAGAAGCCCCGGACGCATCTGGTAATGAGCTGGAGGATGAGGAGGAGCTTGGCATGGAAGGGGTTAGAAATGAAGACGAGGCAAACGTGCTCATAGACTATATAGACAGACTCGGACTACATAGCGAATAAAGAGGGTTTTATGAACGCATGTCCTCGCTCTTTTCGAGATCAGAGAGGGGTAAAACATACAAGCCGAGATCGATTATCTCCCGATCGAGTGTCTTACATGCCAACAACGCAACGCACCATTCTGTCTACAGTTGTTCATCGACCCGCCGGCGCCTGCCATCGCCCGCGCCTTCGTCGTCATCGCGCGCAACAGCGAGCTCGCTATTTCACTCATCCACCATTGTTTTCCGTGTTTCTTTCTGCAGATGACATGTATTATAGAGTACCTATACAAATATACTGTTTAAACCATATATAGACCGCTTTAGCTAATAGAAACCAACACAACAACATTTGCTGAGAGAGAATATGTCAGGAAGTGAAGTAGAGTGACCAGAAAGCAGCTGAAAGTACATGAACAGATAGCACTTACTATTAAAGCCCAGGGAAAGCAAGAGAAATGGAGGGGAAGGCCAAGGAACCCCTCCAGAAAGCGGCTGTGTGAAAGTCATGGGGATAGGAATAGGGAGAGAATATGACGCCTTGGGGCCCATTTCAGGGTAAAGAATGTTAGATTGTAAGTTGTCAAACATGCTCCAGAGGCTATGAGGTGAAAGGAATGTGACATAGAGTGTCTGGAGCGAAGATTGGGCTTCAGAAACTGAAAAAGAGGGGTGGAATGACTTTAACGGATCCATGGCGGCGTAGAAAGTATCAGAATTGTCTTCGACAGTGCTTTTGAGCCAGAACGACGCCTTGGACCGCTTACAGAAAGTCCCGGAAGATCAGTATAATTAGACGTAGCAGGTACTCAGAGAAACACTCACCTGGGCTGAGCCCCTGAAAACGAGAACAATCCGAGAGTCCTGCAGGCGTTGTAAAGTACATATGAGACATATATCGATGGCTTCTGGCCGCTGTGTCGCATGGTATATCTCTAGAGGTACATGCAAGGTTGGAGCACATGAGGTCATGCAGCTTGTGGAAGACGTCTCACATTGACACCACTTCGCTAACGTGCTTTTCAGATACCATATTATAGAATCGACACATAAACCTATTGCAGTATTATCAGCATAAGACGACACAGGATCAGTAACATACCATGGACGAAAACCACTCCAACTACTCTCCTGACTCGTCGCCTCGACTCCTCCCTACAGAACATTCAGAATACATGTGCGAATGGTACCACATACCGACCAACGCAGCCGTGAAAAGATCCTGCTCCCGCTAACGGGAATAGTTGAATAAAACTGCTGTGAGGATGCATCCAACTGTGCGGCTATTTAGGGTTAATGTCGAGGGACTGAGGCGGCACAAAATACTCAGATATGCGAGGGAACGTAATAAATGGCAGTTCCTATAATTTGCAAGCGATAAGAGGAGATGAGATGCAAGGGGGAGCAAGAAGGTACGAAATGAGAGGAAAGTACGAGGAGGCGCTGAACTACTTTATGGACGATCGAACGTCCATAATGTATGCTCAGCGCTTCCTCACACTTTCATCCTCTTTCTCGTTATTTCACTCACTCTTGTTCCTCCTCTCTTCCTATTGCCTGTAACATGTTCCATGCAGTACGGTATGCCTCTCTCATTGTACTGAAGAATGCTTTTAGGCCCTGATCGCACGTTGCAAACTACGGTTCACCATTCATTCATCTGGCTTGCCTTGACCATTTTATTCAACTTTTCGCCGTCGCATCCATTTCCTGCCCAAGTAAGCAATGCTGATGACATCTAATACATGTATTATCTCTATTCTCAGTAATTGTAGTGAAGGGATCGAAGTCGTGGCTTAGGAGGCAGGTCAGAGGGGATTTCTACCATGGTAAGTTCCTCGCACCGTACAGCCTTGTACTCACGTTATATCGCCAGTGTTCAGTGTTCATCACGCATGCGGAGATCATAAGTACGCGTCAATCAGGTGTCCTAGATCTGTCGCTATTCAGAGGAGCTGTACACGCTGGTGAGTTCCTACATTATGTCCCCTATGGAGGCATAACACCTGATGAAGGACTCTATGAAGCTTCATGCATCATGTACTATGCATGTACGACGTCCGAGAGTGTACCAACTTTATCGTCATTCGCAGTTTTTCTAGCCAGGTAAGTAATTCTCTGAATAACCGTGACCTCCTGCCGTATTAATGCTTCAGGACTCTCTATAAGTATGTCAAGGTGTCCCCTTGTCTCGAAAATACTGTAGAAGGCATTTTGAATGCTTTTTATGCCTGCTCGGACACTTGAACATCAACTATATCCCTTTCTGCATTCACCCTGGCTCAATATTCGCTCTGGACACCGTCTGTCTTCTCCTTACATTCTGCCAACCTTTCTTACATATTTATCAGCTCAGTCTATGATCTAGAGTCGCTTGAAGAAGCTCTAGAAGCATCGTGTACCCTCTCTATATACGTCTCTATGCCCTCTGCACAGCCGCTTTCTGGAGGTTTCTCCTGGCATCCTCCTTCTATCTCTCTCAACTTCCCTGCTTTGAAATGTAAGTACTATCTTCATATGCACTTTATGCACCTTTCTGACCGCCCTATTCAACTTCCTGACATACCTTATGACAGGAGATACTGTTGTGGTAGTTTCTATCAGACAGAATCAACTATATATTACATGAGGCATACAATGAGGTAGCTATATTGTAATACATGTGATCTACAAAAAGAAGCAAGTGAAAAAGCGAAGGAATAAGTGAGATAATGAGCTCGCTGTGGCGCGCGATGAAGACAAAGGCGGGACGATGGAAGCGCCGGCGGGATGAATGAGATCGATCATTTGTCTCTCTCGTTCAACAAGACAACGTCGGTCTTGCTGCCAGCTGCTGCCTTCATTCGTTGCAATGTCAACCCTTCACCTTGAAGAATGCCACCTTAATCCACTTGGACTTGAGTCCGTTCGAGAGCTTTTTCAGCGCCATATGCCACAGTATGACCGGTACAAGGCTCAGTATGATCAAGCTGCTCTAGCCTTCCTCCTCCACGGAAAACACAAGGATGGAAGTCATAAAACAGCTCCTGATGCATTCCATTCAGACTGGCGGATTGCGAGGGAACATGTACCCTCAGGTACGGAAGGCCAGGCAATTCGGGCGAAGTTCAAGGACGAGCTTATGGAACTTGTGTTTGATTCTGTACGTCTCTTCCCTTATAGTCTATATTCCCCATTCTGATTAGCGATGTTATGTATCTTACCGCTAACCTCACAGACCACAGCATGGGATCGTATCACTGGCGGAACTGCCATCCTTGTCCATATTGATGGAACGCTTGAACCGGATGCTCCGGTGTCTCCTCAATACGTCAAGGCTCACGTTTACCTCAATCCTGGCCTGCTGGATGACATACCAGAAATCACCCCAGCCGTTGCGCGTATCGTTCAGTTGTTTATCGAAGACATCGGACTTCCTGTGATCAGAAGATGGTTTCGCGCATTCAAGAAGGAAGGCTTCTCACTTACCAAGTGCTCCACTCGAGTAATCCGTATCCCATCGTCCATTCCACTCATTCCAAAGCCCGTCCCTCGGGGCTCAACTCATCACGTCTTTAGGGGTCATGCGACTGGGGTGCTGGACACTAGGCTTGTGGGCCTCTCTGCAGTAACAGGAGGCATTCATTCCGAAGTCGCTCTGGCCGATGACGCAGAATTTAGAGAGCTTCAAGCTCGTTTAGATCAGATGTCGGTGGAATACACAGAGAAGGTGGAGGTGTTGGAGGAGGCGTTGCATTTGGAAACGTCCGAACACCATGACCTTGTGGCAATTCTCAACTACAAGATCGACCACCTCAAGGACACATTGGCAGACCGTGATGGGCTGATACAAGAGCTGCGCTCAGCTCTTCGTCAATATGGTATGTGTCTATTTCTGTCGATCTCACGCAGTCACTGTGTTGACGGTACTGTCTTAGCGCATCCTACGATGACATCTTTGCAATCTGCTCCATTGGCTCATTCTAACGGTAAGTCTATATTCCTGTAACTACTGTTTTCCATACTGATATATGCTCGCACATCCTATTCTATAGAGCGCCATTCTTCTTCAGCTTCCGCCATCACAGCAGTTTCAAGCGAGTCCAGCATCTCGTCTCGCATATCTCACGACCAAGTGTTACGCTCGTTTGGAGTGGCTACAACAGATTACATTAGGGACACTGGGCGCAATCGTCAGTGGCATCGGAAGCTTTACGAAATTTCGGTAACGCACCCTCATCTCGAGTGGCAAGAGGCCTGTATGTTGTACTTCCAGATAGAGGAAACAGAAGCTCAGGAACTTGCAAATGCCATGATGAAGGATGCAGGTATAGTATAGTACTCAGATTGTCCAATGAATTACTGAACTAGCTTCATGTATCTTTTTTTATTCAAATTCTGAGAACCACAGGACATTTACAACATATGTCACGTGTACGAGTGACTTGACCTGATAAGGCATCGGAAACCGCCTCCGATGGGGGATGTGAGCACTACGCCAGTATCCAGATCGATTTTTTTTACTGGTGTCTGCTTGCGGCAGACACTGTGAATGGTCCCTCGAGGTCTCTCATACTTCCAATGGACACTACGACAGATATTCACTATGGCCCTGCCATCGCCGCAATACCAATTCCACGCCCTGCCATCAAGCGTAAAAAGCCTGCACCTATCGACTCGGAGAAACGCAAGGAGATCAAAACACGTCGTGATGAGAAAAAGAAGGAGGTCGATGAGCAGATCGCCACCTGGTTCCAACAGACGGTTGCATTAGCAAGCACAATGGCGGAAAAATATGGCCAGACGACGCAGCACTATCTTCGACTCTTTTTCTTCGGCGCTGAAAGTCATGCGAAGAAACGACAGCCATCTGCCTATAATGCATACATCAGTGCAATGGCGGCGGACACAAATTCAGGTGAGCTGTGCCGGTTCTGAATGTTCTCATTGGAAGCTGACTGACTTTTTCACACCATGTATCAGATGCAGCCGCTGGGAGTGCATCGTCTTTGATCAACGTTCAATCAGATCATCGAGAGGCATACTATGAGCTAACACAGGAAGAGAAGGATGAGTTTGTCGCGGAGCTACTGCAGAAGCGCGAAACGGAGCAGAAAGGTTCCCGCCCCAATCAACGATCTCGCATTCAAGATGCCAGTGCGGTGCTAAGGCTTATTGAACAGGAGGTATGTTCTCAGGTGGGCTAGACACTGTATATTCTCAGCTGACAGATAAACCTACAGCTTCTTGGTTTAAAGCACAGGGTAGGAATCGAAGGCTTTTTTTGCGTCGTGAAGAACAACACCGAATTCAATATGGGACCTCAGTGGTTCTTCACCGATCAGGAGATAGAACGATACCTGAGCATTTCCGTACGGAAAGGGTGGGATACAGGATACATTGGCGCCATTGCAGAAGCATTTGCGGTTGCTGGATGTGATACAATGAGTATGCGTTCTTTCCGGTTTCTTTTCGGACAGATGCTCACAAGGAACTCCCATCAGAAACTCTCACGAATGCGAAGCAGAAGGCGACTTATCTCATGACATCAATCCAGGATGAGATCCAACAAAAGCTCAGTCAGTTCACCGCACTTGGTCACACGTCAAATTCTATATTAACTTCTATCTCACAGCTGACATTACCGGTAACAAGGATTCCCAAATGAAGTACGTCAACTACGAGAGGGATATCGTTCAGCGCTATGGGATCGAGCTGCAAGGATGGACTCATTCAGAGTGGACCACACCGCGGAAGATGAGCACTAGTCTCCCCCCTTTAGAGACCTTGCTCCATGCGCTGCGGACCGATCAGTGCAGATTCGTCAAGCTCACCAAAGCGCAGTTAGATGCGCGTGAGAAACCTGTTGAAAAGCCGAGAAAGAAGCGTGAGGACTCTGGAAAGAAACGCAAGAAGCACGCATCCGCTGCGGACGGTGGTGACGATGGTGGTGAGGAGGACGATGCCGAACCGGACGTTGAAGAAGCTACTCGACCCGCTCCTAAGAAGAAGCGTCGTAGCAAGGCCCAAAAGACTACTGACACTGCGAGCGGCGACAATGAGTAGCACAAGATACAGGCCATACTCCGTCTATATACCTACTACAGTAGTCATGTTTACTTAGACTTATACCCGCTCTATTCAATGTTAACACTCTGGCTGCTATCCACTCTCTGATTGGCTGTATACACTCTATATGGTATTATAAGAGCCAAAAGAAAGGCTATTACCTATATACTACATAGAACTACGAATGGAAGTAGCGGGAACGTACGACGACGACATTGCATGACGCGCCAACGCGCCAACGCGTGTATGAGCGCGTGTGTCCAAAACGGGAAGGGAGGCGCGAGCGTACGTCCAAAAAGGGAAGGGAGGCGGGGAAGCGGGGGCGTACTCCGAGGAAATCGGGGAACGCCAGGGGACGTTCCCAGAATGGAAAGACCTCGGGTGGTTTCGGAGTTGAGGCGGGAGAGCCGGAAGGAAGGGCTGGCCCATGGGGGGATCGCGTGGCGCAAGGGGAGGATGCCGACGTGCCGGCTGGGGAACTGTTCAGCAGGAAAGGGGCCGGAGGGGCAAGAGATCTCCAGTGGAATACAGGGAAGTAAGGGAAACAAGCAGAATCTATTGCCAAGAGCCTCGACGTCTGACCCCATCGACAAGGCTAATCAGCATCAGATCGTGGGAGTATCAGGTGTCGAAGCTTTGGTACTATAGATTATAGGTACCCCAGGCAGAAGTAATGTGATTTAGATGATGTTTGTGTTTCTTCAATTCGAGACATAACTGTTTCTCCAGAGATTCGCTATGCAATACTTCTATAGATAGGTGAGTGTCGAGCTCGGTTCCTCGTTCTCCTTCTAACCACTTTCTCAAAGACTTTGTTCTCATGGATGAACGGTTACACGCTAATCGGCCGGTAGCCCCTCCACCTCCGCCGATAGCGTAGGTCATGATATTGTTCTCCTGCATGGCCGGTCCCTCGAGTTTGACATTAAACATCAAACTACTCTATGCGAGCGTGATCGAAGCTGATTCCAACGGAGTAGCTCATGGAGAGGCACTGATCAAGGAATGCTACATCAAATTCGGCGTTCAATTTGAAGGTGCTCGTGCGTGTCTTGGTTCCTTCCTGGCTCTGGTGAGCAAAACATACGACTCAGGACTTCGTGGAAAGATAATCTGTAACGAATGCCAACATATAGCCCTGGTGAACACGATGACTTTGGTCCATGGAGGACTTGCGCATCTTCTTTGTGGTTGCCAGTTGCATACATCCAGACCGCTTCGTTGATCAAGCCAGGTTGTTCATCAGATACGGAAGATACTGAAGACCGGGATCGCGCCTCTGTCGCGTCTCCCTAGTACTATAAATTGGCTGTTGAACAACCCTGGTCCGTCAGCTCTTCAGTTCTTTTCGAGCTCCCTTCTATTCACTCAGGGTCAGGTGCTGGTTGGTGAGTGATATTCCATAATGAAGGTTGAGTGAGAATACTTAGTGTCTCCGTTATATTTCCAGCCTACCCATATTCGTTTTTCTGACATATCAATTCAACACACCTCAGCATCATCATGAAGCCGGCTTCGTTCATCCTCTTCCTGTCTACCATTGCCGCGTCTGCAATGGCCCTGTCTGCAGCGTACGTCTGTTTCTCCATCAGAATTATCTCAACTACTGTAACCTTGTCTGACGTTACTCTTTTTCAAGAAACAATGTCCACAGTCCAGCTGCAACTCCTCAAGATTCTCGTGCTCGTCCCGTCGTAGGCGTCACTCAGAAAGTCGTCGACGAGCTCAATGCAAGCCTTGGGAGGGATGAACGTATCGCTCGTGCTTATTCGGACTCTGTATTTGTTCGAGATGGCTCCGACACGATCACAGACCAATCGGGTGCTCTCAACCTTGGTCATCTCGCCGAAAGCATCCTTAACGTCGTTAGTAGCTTTCTGAAGAGAGACGAGAACACCGCTCGCTCCTACGTCGAATCCCTCATTGCACGGGATGAGACCAAATCCGGTTTCGCTGATCAATCGGGTGCTTTCACGAATCAACTTCCTAAAAACCTTCAGGAGATCCTTCCGCAACTCATAGAAGAAGGCATATTTGAACGCGTCTCCCGTGCCTACATGGACTCCTCTGAATCTGGAGGGGTGTATGCTAGAGGTCTTGATGCCTACGTTCGTAGTCTCGAGGAGCTCTACGCTAGAGATTTTATGTTCGTCCTACATTTTTTCAAAATGTTGGGTACACGTCTGACCACTGTTATGCCACCCTTCTTACAGGAATCAACTGCTTCGTCGTAGTCTGTATGAATTGGATTGAAGGATGGAGTGAGGCATCAGTACTTAGAAATATGTCGTGGATCGAGTTGACTTTGACCGACACTGCGATACTGCCTTCGATATTGGCTACCCTGTGTGGTCACTGCAATTGATGCAGCGAAGAATCCGCAGGAATTGAATTCAAGGACGGCTAATGTACGATCCGTATGGATCAAAATTTCGGGTAATGTTCAGCATTGAGGTGAGTTCTTGTAACGGGGGGCCCAACCATCCGGAGCCCACAGTCTTGATCGTCCAATCTTTCAAGTTTTAAACCTTATGACATCTCTGCACCGTTTCGGCTACACCTTGTCATTACTACAGTCACCAGGTTGCCGGGAAACGCAAGCCTTCGGCACCTTGACCGGAATAGCCGCGATCTATTCCAGCTACATTCAGAACGATAGGCCCCTCCAAAAAAATCATTCAGTCGCTTGCGCTACGCGAAGCAATGCCGGTTCGACGGCAGACCCGCTTGACGCTCTGGCATTCTGTCACTCCCCGTCACGCCGTATTTCTTCCATTGCTATCCTCGGCGACTGTCTAGACGTCTAGACACTGCCGTCTTGTACAACGCTTCCGTAGTAATGGCACTTGAGCTCTAACTCCCATCTGAACCTTCTCATTGTGCTCTCTGGTCTTGCCTGAGGATGAGACGACATATACTGAAGCAATACAAGGAGATCGCTCGCAGCATGGTCGTTGAGCATAATCTCAAGTACAAGATGGTCAGCAAGTATAACAGCATGAATGTGCATGCAATACAGAGCGTAACGGTCGTCCGTGTCTTCTTGACGCACTTAAGGTGAACGTAGGTAGGCTGACTCTTGTTATCATCTTACCAGATTCTATTCTTCCTCAAATAATCACATCTGCATTGAAGGTGGAATGGTGAAGAATTGGTACATTGTGCATACTGTGCAGACTTGCTCAGATTCTTCTGGACCATGTCCGTTCCGTCTTGCGATGGCTCGGATGAGAGTCCTTGCATTGATTACTCCCTGGAGATTGTCATTGTTAATGATGCTTTTTGGTCAAGATCTGGATATGTATCCTGTTTTACACTAATGTCTATGGATAATGACAAGCTACTGTACTACCGCTGGCATGTAATTACTCTAAATGCATCGGTCATGTTTATTCTCATCGTTGCGCGACTGTGGCTAGAAATATCCTGGAATAGGCCCGACAGGTCTCAGCCGGTCACAAAGTGATCACAAACTTCGCCTGAGCTCGGCACCTGCTAAGCTGTGTAAACTAGACCTCGGGTATTCTGAGTGATTTTTTCGGAGGGGCCTATCGTTCTGAATGTAGCTGTCATAACTGAGTGAGTAAGTGTTCCACAGTGTTACTCAGGTGTTACCTATTTTTTGAGTGTCGAACATTTTGTGGTATGAGCTATTCGCCTAATGGGGATGCATCATTGAGCTAGCGCCCCCTGCGGGTTGAAGTCAATGTTACCCTAGTACTATGACCATGTAATGCACTCCAGTTTCTCAAAAGCCGTGTCTGCTGACAATTGCATTCGACAGCATGCTCATCAGGGTTCTCATGAGCGTAGTAATCTCGCTGTCGCATATCCGATGGACTTCGGGAAGTTACGTTGCAATGGCAGTCATTCACTGCTACCTCCCTCGTCAAACCCTCTGTCGGCGGAACATCACATTCACCTACGCTTTGATCGCATGCGACTATAATAGATGATAATGCGAAGTATGCCGTGTGCGTATGCCACGTGCACAGCTTTTGAGGTGAACTGGGAGTCTCCTTTCTCAGCTGTTATAAAGAACTCACTAAAATGCTGCGCTCCTTATTTCTGCGACCCACATCTAGCTTTCCACGCAGCATGTCTACCATGGTTTCTCTGCTCGCCTCTCCGCCCGCACCTGCCACCAAACTGGGTCGTCATCGCCAACTTTCACCTTCTGCTGGAGTTCATGTCTCTCCCATATGTCTCGGTGCCATGAGTATCGGGGACAAATGGTCCTCTTTCGGTATGGGGGCCATGGATAAAGAGAGCAGCTTCAAGCTACTTGATGCCTTCTACGACGCCGGCGGGAACTTCATTGACACTGCGAACAATTAGTAAGGCATTCAATTAAGAAACACACTTTCTCGGACATTCACGGTCTCCTATTCTGTAGTCAGGATGAGAGCTCGGAGGAGTTCATCGGTGAATGGATGGAGGGTCGCGGTGTTCGCGACCAGATTATACTTGCTACCAAGGTCTGTATGAATTACCATCCATCGGACAATGTTAGATGCTCATTTTGTTAATTCGCAGTACACCACTAACTTCAAACGCGGCAATCCCGACGTCAAGCAGAAGACAAATTACTCCGGTAACAATGCCAAGTCTTTGCACGTCTCAGTCGAGGCCTCACTGAAGAAGCTACGTACCGACTACGTTGACATCCTCTATGTCCACTGGTGGGACTACTTCACGAGTATCGAGGAAGTTATGAACGGCCTTCACAACCTGGTAGTCCAAGGCAAGGTGATTTACCTGGTACATATCTCTTATTTATCCTATATGTCCATCTATTCAATGATGTCTCTATTCATAGGGTATCTCTGATACTCCCGCTTGGGTAGTCTCGAAGGCCAACATGTATGCGAGAGACCACGGCAAGACGCCTTTCTCGATTTACCAAGGGGCATGGAGTATCCTGCTTAGGGATCTCGAGCGAGAGATATTACCAATGGTTCGAGCTGAGGGAATGGCTCTCGCACCTTTCGATGTTCTCGCCGGCGGGAAGATACGAAGCGACGCTGAGGAACAGCGGCGTCGCCAGACCGGAGAGAAAGGTACGGTAGGCCCAAATCATCTGGTTCTGGATGGTATTAAACCACTGGTGGTTAGGACGCGCAATACTAGGCCAGGATTGGGAGCGATCGGAGGCACAACGTCAAGTGTGTCTTGCTCTTGAAAAGGTTGCAGAAGAGGTTGGCGCGAAATCCATTACCGCAGGTACATTCATCAACTGCTGCTACATGACAAGTTGGCATTGTTGAACCTCTTTTTGGATAGTCGCTATCGCCTATGTGATGCAGAAGATTCCGTATGTCTTCCCAATCATTGGTGGTCGCAAAGTCGAGCATCTCTATCAGAACCTCGAAGCTCTTGATATCGCTCTAACCGCTAATCACATCGATTACCTCGAGAGTATCCTCCCCTTCGATCGTGGCTTCCCTTACAACCGATTTGTATGTTTTTCCATTCCGTCCCTCTCGTGGAAAACATAGCTGACGATAGTATAATATTTCAAGGGTGATGGATCCAGCTATGAGCGGTGGTGGAACACTGCCGGTTGTTTCGATAAATGGCCTGCTCAAGAGCCTATTCGTCCTTCAAAGGACTAGTCCTTCCACGTATGCCGGTGCATTATTTTGAAACACATCGGTGTAGAATGGTATGCCAGTACCAAACGAGTATATATAGACCTCTAAGCGACTCGTGTATATGCAGACTATTTGCACAAACGAAGGCACGTGTATGTAAGGGGGATGGAACTGCGAAAATGTGTTATAGGATGATGTCTGCACCGTTACTCGGCAGCGAACCCCTCGTTCTCCTCCTGCTGAAACTCTCCCGTACTCAGACTATCCCTCAAGCTCATCACCTCGTCCTGAATGGTAATCTTATACCCATCCTTCAGGTAGAGGCCCGTTAGAGTTAAGTAAACACTCTCCATATCATCTTTACCTAGTTCGACGGGAGCCCTAGTTTCTCGTCGAATATCGAGGACAAAATCCCGCCACTCCCAGAAGCAACCAGCCATCACGACTGCCAGAATAGCAACAGCGTTCATGGGGCTCCCTAAGAGTAAGAATAGGATTGGGGCAATAAAGATGAGAATGTGATAGAGCGCGCATTCTCCCCAGTAAGAGAATCGGCGAGGACCTGAGGAGGGGATAGTCGGCATAAAGAGGCTAGGAGTCGATGGTGTGAGCTTATTGATCTGGGTTGGGGCGAGGACGATGAAGGCTCCGACTAGAGCACACCAAGGAACGAAGAGGATGATACGAATGGGTATGGTCATCATTTGGACCCAAGGATTCGAAGCGAGGGGTCTTGTGATAGCATCCTCTTGGAACTCTGTCGTGGGAGAGCCGCAGACGGCGAGGAGAGAGGTCTCCGACACATTGACATTATCTTCAGGATTCAATGCGAATGGGTAAGCTGATGACTTCGCTAGCCCTGGAGAGAGATGCTATTGAAATCGGCTTGAGCTAGCTATCGTTTGAAAGTAACGAACAGTTTGCTAACCTCTTCGCCGGATCCATTAGTCTGAGATCTTGATGCTGTCTTTCCATCCACATGTGGTGTACTCATATCTTGGACTTGGATAGAAGGTATATCTGGCGTATGTCTAGGAGTACGCGTAGTATTTGCCATAATTTCGTCAACTTCTGTCTACAATCGAAAGATGTCAGGACATCTCATGTTGAAGAAGGAGGACAACGAACATGATCCCGAGTAAAAGTACCGTCATTGATGGATTGTCGCAATATACGAGACCGACCCTGCAAAGTTGTTTAACTCACCGAAATGTTTGAGAGATGGTAAAGACTCACCTGTCTAAGAGTCCTGGAGACATTGAGCTTATTCTTGACGATTGTACCAGCTCTCTTCATTGCACTTCGCACGCTTGCACGCAAACTCGAACTCCCCTCGAGATCCTCCAAGCATTGTTCTAACCCGTTGACATCGAGTGCGTTTATAGAGTCAGAAATAAGGGAATCGTCAGCCGCCGCATCGAGGTCCTTGAAGTTGGCTCCACCGACGCTTGACTGCCTGCTGATGTCCGACGGAGTATATATGCCGCACGTCGAAGCATCGGATTCGGAAGATGCATCTGTATATGTGGATGTACGGGAGAGGGAAGGCTATAGGGGAAAAATATTAGAAGGGACAGGGAGTCGATACCGTAATGTTTCTTTACTGTAGTGCAATTCGAGGAGATAGTAACTTCCATGTTGTTTGTTCTTCGCAGAAGAAGGTGAGTAGCGCAACAATGAACGAATGAAGTTTCAAGACGAGTACGAAGAATGCTCCAGGCAGTCCAAGTTGTAGAAGATGATGATGCCGCGCAAGGATACACGAACTTATGTGGAGTGCCCCAAGAAGGCTGACACAACACTCATAGGTTCAGTTTCAAACCCGACTGAGAGCATCCTTCACGCGCAGGCGGATTAGGTATCTTGTCTGATGTACACTGGCAAGACAAACCCGCAGCAATTTACGTCCGTGTATACTACAGTCCTGAGGATTCGAAAGACGAGACTTGCCGGGGGGGAAAGCGATTAGCATTGGGAATTGCGTATGTATCAATCTAAGAAGTCTCCGTTCCAGGTAAACATGATCGGGAGCTGACAACACGCAGGTAAATTAGACTCTATTCGTTTTCTTTTAATAGGTCATTCAACGCATGAGAAATAATAGATATCGAGACAAGCACATACGCATGATCATACCGGCAATGTAAGAAACTGTAATCGAAGAAGCAAAGCAAAGTTTTGAAGCTAGTGGCTTCCCGATTTAGGCGAGTACACTTACGCGATTACCTAATCAAGTCGATTGTAGCGGTGGGCGCTACAACGTACCGGATTAGGCAGTCTAACGGAGATTTACGGTCGGATTTTGGTTAATCCACTTTTAGGATCATTTATCTACGGAAATCTGTTCTTGTCCGCAGCTATTCCGCAGCACTTAGATTAGTATTTAAGTAGCTTGTTTCGTAGCTGTAGATCCCTTAGCTTACACCGAAGAATCAGTCTTATAACCTGTCCCTTTTGGTGTGACTCTTCTCTCCCATGTGACGCGAGTGTTCCCTATGGTCACCAGCGTCACATATTTTTGACAGCGACTCTCGAACTTTCTTCGGAACTTTCTCGAACTTCTTCTCTCTATAAAGTGCCGACTTCTGGGCTCTCCTCAAGACTGATCATCTTGGGCTTTCCAACTGTCAACTCTTGCTCTTGCGCTTTCACTCTAAAAACTCAACTCTTCCTAAAACCTCTTTGCTCTTTAAAAAGTTCCACTATCCGGTATGGCTGCGTGTTACCCTCTCTGTAACCGTCTTCGCTCTGGTTCAGCCCCCGAGCGTACTTTGCCAATAAGTGGAATAATCCCAGGTGCGTTTCAAACCTCTAGCGCACCGAATATTGATTCTCTTTCTGCAGCGTTGACATTGTTAACGCTGACGGATGTGTCTCTGACATCATCCTCGCGGACATCTTCCAAGGTGGTCCCTAGGCTGTTATACAGCCAGGTTGTAGCTTCGCGTAGCCCCTCCCTTGAGCCAGTTGCTCGGGAGGTAAACCCTGTATCAGTCAGTCCTGATGATGCAGTGGACCGTCAGCATCAGACTGATGCTGATGGTGTTCATGGCAGTTCTGTTAGCTGCCCGGTGACCCCGACTGTCAAGCCAGAAGATGACGGTCAAGGTCCTTGGATATCGGTATCGCACAAATGTGGTCACAGCAAGTCACCACGTATGAATGATCGACAGGCGGCTCCCTCTAGTGCACAAGGGGAGCGACAAGCCTCTCTTACGGACTCTCAATATCAGACGGTCCAAGCAGCCGAGGTGCGGCTGACTCCCGCGGAACAAGACCTTGTCCAATGTCGGATGAGTGTTGTACACGATGACGGCAGGGCCCATCGCCATCCTCGTTCACCTGACGTCTTCGAGGAGCATCTGAAAAAACTTTTTGCTATATAGCAGCATAGGCTTCTATATAGTACTATATAGCCATAGGGCAATATATGTACTCTACATAGCAACTATAGCTACTATCTAATGCTACAGAGGCTATAAAGACTATATAGCCTGCAGTGTCTACTATATAGACTATAGTATGCTATATAGCATTATCATAAAAATAATAAGAGATCTTACATTGTATCTTTTATTTGCTAATGCTATCACAGTGAAATATGAAGATATACATTCTAAGATATAGAATATAGATATATTGTAGATATATAACTTAATATATAGTATATACATATAGTGCATACTAAAGACATCTTGGCTGAGTGGTAAGAGTACATGAATATAACTAGATTGAGTGTAGCAGAGTGAGAGTTCAATTCCTGTGAGTGGCAAAGTATAATTAATATAATTTAATATAATAATAATAAATAGAGCTAGAAATAGTTTGAATAAATAAGAACAGATATATAAATGCAAAAGAGAAAAATAAATATTTTATATTTTGAGCATTTTTAATACTAGTAAAAGATGGCAAAATAGAGCTACTACAGTTGCTACAGGGTGCTACCATAGTGCTACTGTAGCACTATGTAGCCACTAGTGGTAGCTATATAGCCCCAGTAAAGGGTACCCTTGCTACAAAGCTACTTTATCTACTGACACTATATAGGGCTATATAGCAAGGCAAATTTTTTCAGATGAGGGGTCCTCGAGTTGTAAAGGTAAGACTGTTGACCCACGAGAGTGGGGTGCAGCCAGTATACCAGCAGAGGAGCTGGACCTTGAAGCTCAATGCTGCATTCTAGACATGTACACTGGTCAACAGCCTGGTGGAGTAGATATACCAGCAGAGGAGCTTGATCCAGAAGCTCAATGCCGTCAGTTAGAGTTGTACTCAGATAGACAGCTCAATATACTCCAGGTTCTGATGAATGATCCTGACTTTGACTTGAGTGCCCAGGACCAGTTGTTGTTCTACTGGCGTAATTTGAAGGCTCAACAACACGAGCCTCCTAAGAATACTTAGTCAATGAGTAAAGAAACTGTGGCTAAGAACAAATCACAGGCTAGTGCTTCGACTTTACCTAGTAAGCTTCCGAAGTGTGAAGTCAAGTTTGACATGACTGAGACTTCAGACAACAAGGTGGATAAGAAACCATCTATTTCAAAGGGAAAAGGTAGGGCTAGGGAAGTATCCCCTAAGCCCATCCGTACAGAAGCCATCTACGCCCCAGCAGATACTATTGTTGATGCAGTAATGTCTTCCGTTAGCAATGTTAAGCAGAAGACTGCTGTCGAAGCCACTACAAAGAAGGGTAAGGAATGCGAGAGGCCTTCCGCTGATCCTCGCGACCCTGCTGTATCTGCGGGCCAAATTGCTCTGCATAGCTATTTAGGACTAGCTATCAGTAATGCAGTGGGGTCACAGTCTCGACGGAATTCATTAAGTTCTATGTCGTCGGCCTCAGTACAATCCCCTAGTGTGACCGATGGGTCAGACTCAGGGAATTCAAGCCCTTCTGATCCCTCTGATTCATCATTCTCTGATTCAGACTCTTCGAGCTCCAGCTCATCGAGTTCTAGTGGGGCTCATCATCATCGTAAGCATTGTCAATGGCATCACAAGGCACACCATCGTCATAAGTCCAAGAAGGACAAACGGCCCCTGTGGAAGCCAGTTTCACCTCAGCCTTATGATGGTCGTGCCGATGCTGAGGTGTTCCATTGCTTCGTTAGGCAAGCAACGGAAATGATTAATGGGTACAACATACCTCGCCATATGATCCCCTCGACCATAGCAAACTATTTGACTGGTCGAGCATATGACTTCTATGCCAATACCATAGCTGAAGATCCTCGTCGTTGGATGAGGCTGAGGGATATTTTCATTGGGCTATTCAACTATTGCTTCCCAATGGATTTCTGACTTCAGATTTGCGCAAAACTAGAAAAGTTCTGTCAGTATGACTGAACAGTGCGAGACTATGCACATAAGTTGCGAAGCCTCTTAAGGCTGGCTGGTCACTCAGTCGATGACCAAGAATCAGTCATGCGACTGTGGCGAGAACTCAACCTGTCGATTCAGGAAGTCCTATGGGACCACAAGTTGTCACCACTTACCAGTACTTGAGATGAAGTCGTGCGAGAGGCTGAGTTCATTGAAGCCTCCCGACATGTGAAAGAAGGAATGCGTCAACAGAATGGTGATCGTTCTAGTGGCGCTGGACCTTCAGGCTCGAAAGGAAGTGGAAATGGAGGGTGAAAGAGTGATCACCAAAGACATGACCATCGCGACCGAGGTGGTAATCGCCATCCAAACGGAAACCACTCAGGTCCTTCTTCACGGCCTAATAGAGGATCCAGCTCGAGTAATCGACCCGCTCACTCAAATGCAGTTTCGACTCGACCTTCACAACAGCCCAATCGAGCCAGTTCATCACGCTCGCAGGGAGGAATGCCAGCTCGTCAGCCACTATCCGACCAAAAGAAGGCTGACCTTCAGGCAGCTGGCAAATATTATGTCTGCGAAGAGACTGGGCATATTGCCCAAAATTGTCCATCTGTGAACTGAGTGAAGTCGGATTGTAAGGGCAAAGCACCAGGTGTCTCGTCGTTCAGTGTTGAGCCTGACTTCGACAACGTGGAGGCCCTGCGTAGCCTTGCTGAATCATCCAATATGACAGAGCAACTTGAGCTGAATGCTGTCAAAATTGAGACTGCAAGTGACAGTGGCGATTCAATACCTTCACTTCAGTCAGTTTCCGACTCTGACAGTGAGTGGGGGGACTTACCAGACAGCCAGTTTGAGGTATCGTCACCTTCACTAGACAGCTGGGAGGTTCTCGACGATTCACTAGCCAAACCCATTGATGACATTCTAGAAGTGTTAAGTGTGAATCAGGGAAATCGCATTTATGATTGAATGATGATGCAACTCACTGGACAAGATCCCTGGTCTTGGATAGGCAGACCAGTGTCAGAGGATCAAGTCGCCAAGGACTTGGAAGAGTACTACAGATATTTTTGGCCTCATCTTGGCCTTCTCTGTCCATCTCGGTACTCTAGTTCACCAGTATGGCATTCTCATCTAGGTGATGTTTATGCTGAATACGCCGAAGAGGTCCTGTGAAAGAATGGCCCTTATTGCTGTGGACCATTGGGTGCTGACTTTGGTAGCATAGTGGAAGGTGAATTCTGTGTTTATCAGATTAGCGAGACACAGCACGTCATAATGAATGAGCACCTACTAGAAGATGTTGTCGTGGACTCTGCCTTGCTGTGAGATCCAGATTTTGACCTCCCTCATTGGTATCGAAACCTACTCATGCAAGGGAAGCCACGCCATCATCGACACCAGTGCTGCCATGATCGAACACGCGAGTCCATGGGTGATGCTGCGAGTATTGTTGTAGAGCAAGTCTTGCAGGATGGGCTTCATCATCTGGGCGATGGAGCACCTTGGGGTGCTACGAATGGGCATCAATTTCTATATTTGGGGCCAGACCCTGAGTGCATTCGTATATATGATACATACCTTGCACTTACAATTGACATTCCGCGATACTACCTCGAGAACCCACACTTCGACTTGTGGAATGCTTATGCCTTGAGGGCATATCGTGCTCTTATACTCGCTGAGTGCACACCCTTCAGTCTCGATGATTTGGAGGGCGAGCTCTTCTCATTCTTTTCTGCAGACAATGGTCAGGCTTCTGTCAGTGCCGGTCTGCATGCTATTGAGGTAAATGCTGTGAACGTACCTGATCGTTCACGGCCAGAATCACTTCCTGCACTGCAGCATAATGCTGCCATGCCTCGCAACTTTTGATGGATCATTCCCGAGCCCGTCATAATAGTTGTTAATATAAATGGGCATCCAGCGCGCGCGTTGCTGGATTCCGGTTCACTTTCTGACTTTATGTCTTCGAAACTTGCTCATTAGTTGGGTGTGAAGACATTTGAGCTTGAGAAGCCCTTATCTGTGCATCTAGCAGTCCAGGGTTCTCGTGCAAAGATGAATGTTGGATGTAAAGCCCATCTGGCATACCAGTCAGTCGACGAACAATGATATTTCGACGTCATCAACTTACTGAACTATGACCTAATACTGGGGACACCTTTTCTATTCCAGCATCAGGTCGTAGTGGGCATGAATCCAATCACTGTTGTGATTGGCAGCCCTACAGCTTTACCCATCAAAGGGAAGCACGTTCATGTTATCGAATCGCAAGCAGCGGAACTTTTCGATGAGAAGCTAGAAGATGCTAGAAAATTACTTTGTGAATATGCAGCTCCGATATGTTGTGAAGCGAGTGACGCACCATTGCCACCATTGCGTGCAATCAATCATACCATTCCTCTGAAAGATCCCAATAAGATCTACTCCTGGAGGCCTAGTAAGTGGCCTGATGCGCATCGTGCAAGTTGGTGTGAAAAGCGTGATGCTTACCTGAAGTCTGGTCATTGGAAGATGACCTCAGCTCGGAACACTTCTCCTATGCTACTTCTGACGAAACCTGGAACAGGCGTTAATGGCATTTCACCTCGTCTTCGAGTCGTAGCTGACTTACGAGAGAGAAATGCGAATACCATCAAGATGACTTCTCCACTTCCTGACATGGAGGGCATCTTGCGGCAGGTTTCACGTAAGAAGTATCGTACCATTATTAATGGTAAAGATGCATATGAGCATATTCGGGTTGTGCCTGAACATGTCGAATGCACAGCGATGACTACACCTGATGGAAACATGGTCAGTCTCATTATGCAACAGGGTGATTGCAATGCAGTCGCAACTTACCAGACACTAATGAATTACATTTTCAGCCCTTACATTGGTGTCTTCATGGATGTATACTTGGACGACATCATTATTTACTCGGACACTCTAGAAGAACATATTAAACACTGCAAGATGGTGATTGATATTCTTCAGCGAGAAAACTTGTACCTAAGTGCAACAAAGCTCCACTTTCTTGCTCGCGAAATGAAGGTCCTCGGTCATATCATTGATGACCAAGGTATTCGGATGGACCCCAATAAAGTCGATTCAGTCTTGAACTAGAAAGTCCCAACCAGTAAGGAGCTCTTGCGGGGTTTCCTTGGTTCGGTAGGATACCTCGCCGATGATATTGCAACTGTCCGAATCCCTATGGGAATCCTCTCATCGTTAACAGGTTCCGATTCTTGTTTCAAGTGGGAGCCAACTCACCAACGAGCGTTCGAAGAGATCAAACGTCTCGTGCACCAGCATCGCGAACATCGTCGCATGCCCCTTGATTATTCAAAGGGTGCACCACCAATTTGGTTGGTAACCGATGGCTCGATTGGTGAAATTGCAGGTGTCGTACTTCAAGGTGACTCCTGGAAAACTGGTCATGTCGCCGTGTTCTTCTCAGCGAAGCTCACAGCTGCCCAAAGTAACTACCCTGTGCATGAAATAGAGATGTTAGCAGGCGTTGAAGCCATGTTACGGCACCGAGATATACTCCTCGGGTGCTCATTCACATGGATAACAGACCATAAGGGGCTTACCCACCTGTTAAAGCAGAAGAACCTGTCAGGATGACAGGCTCGCTGGCTTGAAAAGATCTCAGAATATGATTTTCGAGTCGAGTAGTCGAGTACATGCCCGGCGTGGACAACGTACTCGCAGATGCACTTTCACGCATCTACTTGAATGATGCTGCTGGGACGATCCGCGCGTCGTCAGAATACACTCAGTATGATGACGACGAACACTTACCTCGCTTGATGGAAACTTTACCAGTTTCCCAGCCGGTGTATGTGGGCATTGAGGCAGCGGCAATACAGCCTCGGATGACGTGAAGTAAAACGCGTGCTCAGGCTGCAGCAAACACCACACAGAAGCATGACGATGTAGGTTCGGACCCCCAGGCTCGTCACTCAAAAGGCAAATTGCCCCCCGAGTCCTCTGCCTACACCGAGCGCTCTGGTGAGTCTGCCAATCACCCTACACATGCACCCCAGTCTTCCCTGCATATTCGACTGCCAGCGCGTCGCGCCCCATTGCAAGGACGAATCGAATCGTCCCCTGCGGCGGGAGATGTTAATGTTCTCAAGCCGCGTGCACGGCATGTTTGAACGCCTGCAGTGCCAGCTGAAACCGGACGTCCAGAGACGTCGAAGGAATTCGCAAAGCGGATTCGACGTGTCATGTTGCACGGCCCTCGTGAATGATGACAGGAGGGCGGGTCTGAGGAGAACATACCTCAGATACCATCAGACGAATGGCAGCAGGACTTACCTTCTGCTAACCACTCCAATCCACCCTCCTCCCCAGCAGGTTTTAACCATTCAGTTGCTGGACTGGAGGGCGCGAATGACAAGGCACGGCGCGCCAGTATTGCAGGTGACTCAGTGAGCCCCGATGCCACATCACTGCGCGTTGACGTTGGAAACGACTCGACGAGTCGTCCAGCGGGGAACGTTGAAGACGACCCAATAGGTCACCATGGCAACACGGTTGAGGACGGCTCAACAAGCCGTTCCGATGGTTCAACTGACCACCCAGCTAGAAACGACTCAACGAGTCATTTTGTTGAGTATGTAAGCGAGTCCACAGATGGAATAGATTTGCTTACTGTCCTGAAGGGCCGTTACAGTGAGGACCCTTTCTTCAAGGCCATCCTGGACAACCCCAAGCATTTCAAGAATTTCCGGGTAGATGGTGGTTTGGTCTTGTTAAGAGAACAAGGCCGGGACTTGTTATGCATCCCTGACATTCGTGTGAATGACAGGAGTGCGCGAGAAGTAATAATACTTCACGCACATTCCCTTCTCGCACACCTGGGCTCATACAAGACACTCGGTCTTCTACGGGACCATGTGTGGTGGAAGACGATGGGAAAAGATGTGCAGAAATATTGCGATACCTGCATGACCTGTAAGCACAGCAAGCCGAATAATCAACGACCGTACGGCTTGTTGAATTTGCTCGCTGTGCCTAATGTACCTTGGGAAGCCATCGGAATAGACTTCGTCAGTCCACTGCCTGAATCGAAGGATCGGAATGGTACTTATGACTCAATTGCAGTCATAATTGACTTACTGACTTGCATGGTTCACCTGGTACCGAATCGCACTAATCATAGCGCTAAACAGGTAGCCGAGTTAGTGTTTTCAGAAGTCTATAAACACCATGGAATACCGAAGGCAATCATTAGTGACCGAGATGTTGTTTTTACAAGCATCTTTTGGTCTCATCTGCATAAGCTTATGGGCACCGAGCTTCGTATGTCCAGTGCTTATCACCCAGAGTCAGATGGTTCAACTGAACGAGCTAATCGGACTGTTACTCAAATGTTGCGACAGTGTATAGGCCCTACTCAGAAAGACTGGGTTACGAAGTTACCAGCTATCGAGTTCGCTATTAACCTAGCACGTTCTGATAGCACTGGTTATGCACCATTCTTCCTTAACACCGGTCGCATGCCTCGTTCCATGATCTGGAATAATCCTGGGGTTGATGAGTACCCTGCAGTGCAAACTTATGCACAAAAAGTAAAGTATGCCATAATGACTGCACACGACAGTATTATAGCGGCACGAGTGAAGCAGACACGAGACGCTAATCGTCATCGCCGTCCAGCTCCATTCGAAAGGGGAGATTTGGTCTATCTATCTACTAAAAATATCTCCCTGCCCAAGGGTCTCGCTCGAAAGCTGATCCCCAAGTTCATCGGACCATACAGGATCCTCACAGACTTCGGGAATAATTCCTATAGGCTAGAGTTGCCTTCCCGGTTAAGACAACAAGGAGTACACGATGTGTTCCACTCGTCGCTGCTGCGAATTCATGAGCCTAACGATGACCGACTATTTCCGGGTCGGCTTGATAGACAGGTGGCGGAAATCGAGGGCCAAGAAGAAGAGTGGGCCATCGATAAGATCGTCGCGCACGCCGGTTCAGGTGAAAACACTATCTTTGAGACGGTATGGAAATCCGGTGACCACACGTGGGTACCCTACGCCACGGTTGCTGGTCTCGATGCCCTGAAAAACTATTTAGAACTAGTAGGAGTAGACGGCATAAAGGACTTACCGCCAGGGTCAGGTAATCCTCCTACGGATGATCCTCAGCTGTTTCTTGGCTTGCTAGAAGTTTCGGCAGGCCCAGCGTACATAAAGGAGGGCATTCGTCACACGACGAGCCCAACGACCTACGCTGTAGACAACGTCAGTCGTTCCCTCTCTTGCCATTCATCGCACGAAACTCTTCCTACCCACTTACCTCCTTCCCTCCATATGACCGACCCCCTCCAAAATGCCTATGCCGTTCGTCTCAAGGAGACACAATGTGTCGCGCTCTTCGACGTCGACGACCACTCCTACCGTTACTCCCTCTCCCAGCTCCGCCTATACGCCAAGTACAACTTGACCCTTCGATCACCTAAATTCAACTATGCCCGCACGCCTACTCCTGGAGGCTACGACGAATTCGTCACCCTGTGGAATCGCGATTACGCCTGCCCATGGAAGTTTGCCTACCTCGACGACGGCCAGGTTGTGGTTCCTGGTGACCCCATCGCTATTCACGTTCTGGCACCGCCCACTTCCAGTGATCCCGAAAAGGTCGCTGAGCTTGAGGACGACCTCAGGGAGATGTCCCGTTTCATCGCCAAACGCGCCATAGCGAACGACAAGGCTGGCGAGCGGAAGAAGAAGATTCGCCTCGAGGCAAAACAATTCCCTTCAGCTTCCAGCCGCACCGTCCAGCAGTTCAAGCGTGGACTTCGTTCTGGACGTCAGAGTCGTGCAGCCACTCCTCGCGCTGAAACTGAATCCCTTCGTGGGTCAGTTCCTCCCGAATCCATTCGCGGATCCGTTCCTCCACTCGATCCTATAAACGATCCAACGTTAGCCCTATTGGATGACAACACTCACCTGGAGGGCGCATCCACAGACCATGCTGGCGGCGAGGGCTCTAAAGACAAAGGTGGCGAGAGGGCAGCAGACGGCGAGGACGTTCGTATGAAAGACGCGGAGACTACCAAGGTGTAGGATGTTGTGACGAACATCCTAGGAGGGCGCATGTAGCGGTGGGCGCTACAACGTACCGGATTAGGCAGTCTAACGGAGATTTACGGTCGGATTTTGGTTAGTCCACTTTTAGGATCATTTATCTACGGAAATCTGTTCTTGTCCGCAGCTATTCCGCAGCACTTAGATTAGTATTTAAGTAGCTTGTTTCGTAGCTGTAGATCCCTTAGCTTACACCGAAGAATCAGTCTTATAACCTGTCCCTTTTGGTGTGACTCTTCTCTCCCGTGTGACGCGAGTGTTCCCTACGGTCACCAGCGTCACATCGATCAAGCCGAAACTCGGGATGCCGAAGCTCGAAGCTTTGACTCAAGCTCAAGCCTGAGGCCTGAGGCTCATCTTCATTTAGTGTTCACAACATCTCAGAAAATACACTCAGTTACTCGACCTTGGGATAATCTTCTTCCTCGACTATGGCAACTTCTTACACTGAACCATTTTCTAATGTCCATTTTCTACGTTCTACAGATAAGTATGTCGAGCCCTGGACGTTCGACTCTGCCTCAAGGCCCGTGGTTTGTTCGATAAGCACAATATGTTCGATGAATTATGGTTGTGTACCTACATTTTATTTGCATGACATGACTCTAGCTCTGATTGGAAGTTATCTTTGTCATTAGAATGCCATGAGGATAATATGTCGTCGCTACCCATGTCGGAACCGGAGCGAGGGGATGATTATCGTGAATACCGTACAGCGATCACCTTGGAGAAATGTGGTTCGAAGAAACTTATCCCATCGCTCAGGTAGATGAACAGCTAATGAACTTTGCAATCACGAGCCCGTAATAGTCTTCGCAATTGCGCTCCGATTCCATCAGTATGACGTGTCTCAGAGTCGTGCTGTTCGTCGCACCCTATCCTATGCTGTTGCTCTGCAATCCGGAAACCTTCATGGATATGTTGAAATTGACGCAGGGAGTATGTTTCGTACTACAAGTACACATCTCGATATTTAGTTCATTTATTGACACCCGTTCTCTCGATCTTGACAGGATCCCCGAACCAGAGTGAGTGTTTCTGGATTACCATGGTAGACGAATTGGATAGTTGCAGATGTTGTGTGTCAGTAGCATACCTTTGCGAAGGCAAGATGTTTGCTAGGGATCGGTCGTCGATCGTGTCCATGGCGGATCTGCACCGGACGCTACACTTGAAGGCGCCGTACCTAACTCACATCAGCCAAAGCACCGGGAAACGTTGTAGGATCCATCTCCAGTTTTGGTGAAGCAGTGCAGATTATGTGCTCGTAGTGCTCGTTCAGAGTTGCACCCATTTGACTACATGTTGACACGTAGGTTTATCCGTCATATCCAGTTGAAGGTATGAGCCATAAATCGCTCTGAGATGGAATGCTTAAATGTGCCCCACTAGTTGCTATCGCCCTTTAGTTGTGCAACTAACCGTATGTTCTTCGTAGGCTTGACGTTAATAGCTTCTTCATTATGTTCAGGCCAGGGTGCATAGACTATGCAGGTGTCCTCCGGGCCACTTGGGCTTTAACTGACTCCGTCTACATTCAGAAGCAGGATATCGTATTTCAGGCCTCCTGCGGCTCCCTCTTCCGCCTCCTCATCAACACGTTTATTTGCTGCCTCGCCCGCAATATTTATTTTTATCTCTTCCTATTTTTATCTGACTATCTTTTTTGAGTGTGACTTTGTTGTTCGTTGTCTGCATCAGAAATCTCGGTTCCGCTTATTCAACTAAATGTCTATAGCATGCGTTCCCCCATCTATACCGGGTGCAATTCATGTCATGCAAAGGAGCCAGTGAGAGGTTCGTTCTTCTCCCTTCAACGTCCTCAACTGTCTTTCCGACTCACATGAGTCACTTTATCTCAATGTGCTGGCATGCAGTGTCTATTTTGATGTCTCGTTATCATGATGCAGATATTTCAGCCTGACATGATTCGATGTTCTACGCCTCTTCATAGGGTTGGCCCCACAGCATCACGACATTCAAATAGTTATTGGAGCTTGCTCGTGCAGGCACAATCACGGAATCCATACGTTGCGATACTGAATTCAGTCACGGCCAAGAGCCATATTCATCTGTCATATGGTATCCACTTGTTCTGATACTGTGGGTCAGACGTTGGGCTTCAATTGGACGGTCCCTTTCTTTCTCACAGACACTTCCACAGGAGTGCACGCTGCGCTTTGCATCACTTTGGTATCATCACCAAGTCAGGTTCAAATGAACAGCCTGTCTTCTATCCTCAAGCACATCTAAGAAGGTTAGTCAAGAATGACGATCTATAAACGACTTGCACTAAATTTGTCACGCCATCTCAGCCTACGTCAACATCTCGCTGATGTCAATCCACTCTCCCAGACCTTGCTCCACGAAATCGAATTCAACGGAATCCGTACTTTCGATGGCCTTTTACCACCATAATAGATTTTCTCTACATTTCCGATAGCGAAACGTTGACTTCAAGACCTCCTGAGTAGTCCCTGTGTTAGTTCCACGGAGGACGTTCCGGCTCTATTTTCGGCCCCAAGTCTTCTTTTCCATGGTCGACCTGGATGCCTTATCGCCCAATGCTGATCGACACGATGATGCCACTTCCCATTGAAGTCGCGTTTCCGGCTCGACATGAGTACATCCAATTGCATGTATTTGCAATGTATCGTTCCATAACCTTCGGCACCTCCGCATGACACTGACATGAGGTCTTTGCGCGTACAAGTACCGTTAATCAGACTCTCAATCTCCTCATCATCACCGACGGAGGTGAGGTGTGGGAAACTTCTTTAATTTGTGTTAGGTTGAGCATTCTCACGACTATTCTTCTGGTCAAAGAAGCTTTTGTTCTACAGAAACGTCGGACTGGACAACGAGTCTATTACAAGAAGGTTGCCGCATCTCTGAATCCGTACTTCGGGCTCTAGGTTCCTTAGCTACTGTCCCGAGTAAGATTGATTCTAAGAAGGAGACTCTGAACGGATTTCTCTCAAAGTTCGCATATGACGATCAGCTGGATCAGATCCAGTGCAAGACGAAGAAGAAGTCGCCGCAGCATGTCCCTGGGCTACTCCAAGGCACGTCCCCGGCGATATAGACCATTGAGGTCACTACACGTCGTTTTCCTAATTACCGTACTGGGTCCGCGGGATTCGAAGACAAGAATGGTCCGCCAATCATTAAGCATGACGGGTGCGACTGGTCTTCGATGCGTCTTCTCATCTTCGGAACAAAATCTACAGCCGCATTGGCACCTTCTCGGCTGTAAGCATATTTCTCTTGTCCTCAATGCCTTGACATTAATGCCTTTTCTAGAAGTAGATCTTTCTGTTAACTGGTTCTATGGCATGGACCGTGTCTATCCCGGTGGTTTTAACGTCGAATTCCCCTGTCTGTTGGTGTATTGTTCTTGGACTCACTCCACTTCTTTGACAGTTGTAGATGCGACATGTTTCCGAATACCACACGCCTTAAACTGCTGTCACTGGCCATCCCTCGAGCATTTTTCGCGTGTACATCAGGGAGCAACGATGGAAGCGATGTCATCCAGGGTCCTTACCCGAGAGCTCGTCATGTTCGACATGCGTGGTGAATTCGTCCCATAGCTCACGCAAGAATATGTTGTCCTCGGACGATTATTTGGAGGTCATAGAGGTATAAAGCGAGCGCAGCTTGAGCCTGTCCAAATCAACACTCTCACCGAGTGAACAACAGCACGTACTCCCAATCCCAAGCACTCTCCGCCACAAGTTCTAATCACCATGTTCTTCTCTCCCAAGTTGCTCTACCCTGTCTTCGCCGTGATCAGCGTCGCTTCGACCGCGTTCGCATCGCCGGTCGCTGCGCCTGTCGCCGAGCTTGTCACCAGGCAGAGCGATCTCGTGAGCGAGATCCAGAGCTTCCAGTCCACCGTTTCTCCCCTGATTGACCAACTGAGTGAGTTCCGTCATTCGTAATAATTCCCTTCATTTCTCTGATATTTCTGCAACCTTCTTCTAGGCCAGGCGGCCGCCACAGGTGCTGATCCCTCTCCCGCTGTCGATCAGCTCTCGTCTGCCTTCAGCGACTCGACCAACTCCTTCAAGTCCAAGAAGGGTGCTATCCTTGCCGACGTTGATGTCACCGTCTTCCTCGATGTCTCCCTAGATATCGTAGTGGTACGTATTGCTCGAACTTTCTTGCCAAACACTCTCAGGCTTGACAATGTTTTCCTCCCAGAAACTCGTCGTGGCTCTCTCCAAGTTCCCACTCCTCGATCTCTTCTTGTCTGCCAAGGTCGATGTCATCCTCAGCGCCTGGATTTCTGCCTTAGGCGTCGTTTCTCCCGGTATTGCTCCAAAGATTGGCAAAGGGTATGACCTTTATCTTCATTTTTTGCTTGAATATTAACATGACCTTTACTTTAGCATCCCTACCGCTGACATCGGTATTTTCGCGATCCTGAAGCTCTTGCTCTCTGCGAAGGTTCTGGCCATCGTCGACCTGCTCGGTATCATCAAGTTGTAAATGTCCCCATAGAGTAGCTGGTGGTTATCGCGGTTTGTCCATAGGTTCTTCGTGATATCCGGCGTCCAATACGTAGGACTACACGCACTCGAACAATGTGTTTGTGTACTTCTTTTTTTTTGCTTCATGGTTTCGACCGTTTTGTTTCGTAACAACCTGATATGTCAGATCTGTACCGAAAGATTCAGCGATGTGATTTACGGATGTGACAGATACATGTTGTCTCAAGAATTAAGCATCCGATCCGCAATGTACAGAGATGCTGCTTTTCATACACTTTCCTATCCACTCTTGGATTTACTGAGATGTAAACTTTTGTCAATTCGCGGGTGTAAGGCCGTCCAAATGTACGGGCTGAACCCGCCTAAAAATCTCTGCGAAAACCCATTATACTGTCACAAATCGCAGAGAGTACAGATCCAGGTTCATAGTTTTCCTGTGATACACATACCCCTGTTGCCTATTGTCAAGCTTCTCAATTAAGTTTGAGCTTTCCGGTGCGCGTCGGATCACAGGGAAGACCTGATGGTATCTATCTTCAGGATCTGCAGCTGAAATGTTCATACACGGTTTTAACTAGATGAATAATGCTTGCGAGATTACTAACGGTTAACAAACACTAGAGTTGACGTACTGTATGTAGTGTACATGTCCGACGTCGAGTTGGCAACGTTACCTTTTTTGATGCTGAGCGTCCTAATATGGTAAATGCTTGGATCAGTTTGCCTAGCCCTATAGGTAAGCCCAGAGCACAGGCTTTACTAGATGCACTCGCCCCTTTCCAAAGTCTCTTCCTTTCTCGCCATCTCCAGTTCATACTTGGACTTTATCACCCCAAACAGAAACTGCATAATGCGCCACTGTACTCATTGGCTACCGTTTTTCCTTTCAACATGAAACCTGAAACCACCTGGTCAGAAGTGGATCATACTTTTCGATTACTATTAGCTGGTGCTTTGGCAGGAGGAATAGTAAGATTTTCCCAACTTGTGTGTATATTTATTGACCTATGACAGGCAAAAACGACTATCGCACCTCTCGATCGAGTAAAGATACTCTTCCAGACTCACCATTCAGAATATGCCAAATATATGAGTGCGTAAAAGTACTACGGAAAGCATCAGCAGTCCTAATCGAAATAGATTCTTGGAGAGGTGTCATGAACGCTTTAGCTCACATCCTTCGAACGCAAGGTTTCCTTGGCCTTTACAGAGGCCATTCTCTGACTTTAGCTCGGACCGTACCATACGCTGCCATAGGATACACGATGTATGATAGCATGCGTAAGGTACTGTCACTTTTTGCACATCTGACTGATGTTCATTCACTCATGTTGTAAGGTTCTTGTTCCCCGCCCAGAATACGATACCTATGGTCGAAGAATGCTGATAGGCTCGATAACTGGTGCGTGACGCTCCTAAGCGAAGCAGCATCGTTGACCCTATCATTCAGGAATGTCAATGCTGCCCTTCGTGTACCCGTTTGAGCTTGTCAGGGTACGCATGGCTATAGAAACCAAACATTCCCGCCTGCGTCTTCACATATGGCCGGTAATCAAACTTATATATCGGGAGCCGACAAGACATGAGCATATCTTCGGACATATACGACACTTCTATCGAGGCTTCGTCATTACCGCGCTGGGCACAATCCCTTACCGTGGCGGCGTATTCCTAGTGCTACAGACGCTAGATGGCTGGTGTCAAGAGCATCTTTCTCCTGAGTCGCGTAGGTCATATTTCCATGCTATCAATCTGGCAAATGGAGGCATCGCTGGTACGACCGCACAAGCCATCACGTACCCTCTGGAGGTAATTCGTCGAAATCAACAAGCGAGTGGGGGCTTTGGTTATTCCGAGCCACTCAATTTTCGTGATGCAGCGCGGTTGATTTGGAAAGCTGGTGGCTGGAGAGGTTTCTACGCAGGTCTTGGCATTGGCCTTGTGAAGCAGGTGCCCCTGCATAGTATATCATGGGCAGTGTGGCATGCTGCCAAAAGGTTTCTGCACGTCTAGGCAGCAGTGTTTCCTTTTTTGCAGTTACGTGCGACGTATGAGACTCTGGACTGCACTTCAGAACCCATACCGATAGATGTGGATGTGTGATTTGCATGGCGAAGCTAAGGATACCCGTTATCACTGTGTTGTCGGCTCGCTGGAATTTGGAATGAATCGCAATTTTGCTAAAAGCAGCGCGTCCCACTCCCTGTGATTGTTGAACTTCGATATCCTACTGGCGAATCGATGTCCTGATCCATTTTGAGATGTGGACAGGTCGATGGTGGTGGAGAAGTGACCCCAGGGCATGCCTGTCGCAGCGGAAGAGTAGATGTCGAAATTCACCTGTAATGCGATCAGTGATATGTGAGTATAGAAGACGCAGAATGTATACCTTTCCATTAGGGTGATTGTGATTAACAAAGAGAGCATAGTCCCTAGCTTCCAAGGTCCCAGTGACTATACGAGAGCGCTTAGTTATGCTAGGTAAAGAAGATGGTGCAAAAACCGACCTAAAAACAGCTTCTCCCGAGAAAGATCGTGCTCCCTGCCGTATATTGAAAGAATGCGATTCACGTTGCCCTTGAACCATGCCTTTGGTGCCCTGGTATCCTTGACATGTCGGAATATAGTGGATTCCGTGAATAAATGTGCGGTCTTCTCATCGGAATAGAGACGCTTGGATTGGCTGCCTCTGAAGCTGCTTCTGAGAGAAGCCAGAACGTTTGAATCATAACGATGCATAAATGCGAGGACCAAAGATACTCACGTGGTGGTCTGACGGCCTCTACTTTTCAGTGACATCAAGGATTGCACCGCAGTAACTCCTCGTTTCGCAGCAGAACGCGAGTCCTTGCGGCGATGCTTGAAAGATATCCTCCCGAAGGCATGAAGCGAAGGAATATCTTTTGCACGACCACTTGAGGTCCTCTCCGGGTCCAATGCATTAAAAAAGAGTCACAAAATAGCCCTGCGGCTCGCAAAGATATCCCACTGCACCGAGCTTTACCGGAGTAGGTGACCACAGTGGTAATGACACTATCAAAGATCGAGCGTCAGATCAAGGTATCTCAGCAATAGGGAAACTGCACTAACGTGAGGGATGAAACTCATGTCGCAGCAGGGTCCGATACAGCTCCTCGCTTAGTGCATCAGAAATATCATCGCTCGAAAGCGTGTCAAAAGTATCTGGGGGCCAAGCGCCGTTTGGAATAGTCGAGCGCGGTCCGGCGCTGGCGTTTTCAGACCAGAACGAAGTTTGGCTGGTGGTCGTTTGGCCATAATATAGGGACGATGGCGCATAGCTAGTAGTACCACCCTCATTGTCAGAAGACAGGTCCTCACCGCCTACAGGCATCTCACTATCAGACTGGAGTTGCGCCAACGACACGTCCAGCTGCGCCCACGGGACCTCATCGTCGCTATCTGTGTAACTGGATTGAGCAGAATGATAAGAACCAACCGTACTAGAGCCTGAAGTCGAATCGTGGTCATCCAATGTATCTATCAATTCATATGTTAAACGTAAGCCGAAAGGCACTGGATGTCAGTCATACCAGGTTCATCCTCCAAGTGTCGATCCCTTGACGTGACCGTCCAGTATTGTCTAAGCTGGATGACCCTATTCTCGATATCCGAAAATAATGGCCTGGACTCTGGTATCCGATGCCAACAGTCATTGAGCATGGCCCTGAGGGGGACACGCCAAGATTGTCCTGCTGGTATCTCTGGCCGCAAGTTGAGATCTACTCAAGCCCTCGGTAAACGAATCCCCAACCGAGGAAGGAGAATAAATTGACATACCAAGAATATAGCGTCGCACTGCATCATCGTCAGCCAAGGGCCACGGCAAACTTCCCTTAGATACAATCTCAACGCAACAGATAGCGAATGCATAAACGTCGATCCGTTGCGTTAGTTTATGCTGACCCAATAAAATTTCAGGCGCCTGCCATCGCAGTGTACCTCCTACGAAGAATGATATTCAGTCTTGCGGACATCTTGTATTTCAGAAGTCAACTTACGAGGCATTGGTGTTCCGCTGATCCTATATGCCTCACTCTTCATTTCACTGTGACCGAAGTCAGAGATTACACAGCTATGACTGTCGTCCACCAGGATGTTGGCCGCTCTAAGGTCTCCATGCAGTACGTCATTTGTATGCAAATACACCATGCCCTTCGTGATTTCGTGGATAATCTTAAGCAGGTCAACGCCAGGAGGATCCACTCGTGTGCCAGGAAGCCCACGCAAGTATCCTACCAATGACCCATATCTGCAATACGGACTGACCAAGAACCATGGCGGTTCCGCAGTGGTCGAAGACGCACCGTAGAGCTTGAGCACATTTGGATGTTTGAGCGTCTTCCAGATTTCAACTTCTCGCACAAATAACTGGCGAGGAGTCGTCTCTGCGAGAACTTTGATAGCAACGACGTGATTGCGCCATCGTCCACGATAAACATCGCTGAAGAACCCTATACCGATCTTCTCTTCCCTGTCGACTTCATAACGAGTGATGGTCCAAGAAGGTAATTGCACTTCAGCGCCACGGGACGCCGATAGCCGACGCAAGGACTCGATGCTGGACTTCATGAAGAGAAGATCTAAAGAATCCTCAGGCGACTCAAAGTGACTAGAGTCATTCCAAGGTGTAGATGATTTCTCCAACTTCTCGCTATCCACTTCCAAGGCCCTTTGGAGAGTCTTCATGGCTTCCGGCATCTCGTCTCTGCCGACTTGCAGAACACGAATCATTTCCATGTCATCCTTAGCCTCGACTGCGTGCCGCATAAGTTCTCGGAGATCTACGATGTCACAAAGATTGTCTCGACGATTTTGCCTGGATTGCAAATCACTCAGGATACTGGGCGGATCTGTGAAAGTTGCGTTCCGCGTACGGGCAGGAATGTCGATTTGAGAACTGGTAATAAGCCTGGAGCCAATCTTAGTCAGTTTATCCATGACAACGGCGGCGTCCGCTTTTCTGCTTGTTTCAGACTGCATGACTTGTCGATAGGTTCTCATTTGAATCTTGACCTGTGAGAAGGAAAGAAAATGAGTCCAAAGAAACCTCAAGTGGAATGAAACGAACAGAAAAGCTGTGCAAAGCTAGCAGCAGTGCAGCATCGCACTCTGCGATTTCGCGTTGGATTTCATCACGTTTGAGATATCGCTGGAGAAATGGACGAGCATGCTGTTGACTAAGGAGAACGTATACGCCCGAGAATGCTCTATCTACATCGTTAGATGTGTTGGTAACGGAGGTAACAGAGCGACTTACTTCTCAAGCTTTTCAACTGGGCCTTCCAACTCTCTGCTAACAGAGTGTTCTCCAGTATCCGTGATTTCATCCCTCACGGATATTAGAATATCCGCACATCGTTCCGTAAGACGAAGACAGGCAAGGCGATTAGTCTACGTTCTCATAAATTTCATTAGCATCATCGTGGAACGAACAGCGTACTAACTGACCTCAAATTTCTCCACCGCATCCCAAATGTTAAGCAATGTTTTTGCGGCCACTTCAAGCCCCGTGATAGGCGCAAGTCCAAGGAGTTCGGAGGAAACTTCAAGTAAAACATGAGTACCGTCCATCGCAATGTCGCACGTACGGCAAATAGCCATGATCACTTTCTTGAAACAGTCGTCATGTTTTAGTAGAGTGTGCCATGACAAGCTACAATATTGGTAAATCGTACATTTTTTGTGCGTATCCAGCCCTCAACCTGAATCTCACGGAGATTAGCTTTGTCCGGGCTGAGCGAGGCAGTCGGGTATTCTCCCAATTGACTTGAGTCTTTAGCATCGTCGTTTGTGAAAGTGGACGTGGTAACTCTTGACCCAGCCAACGATTGATGTATTACATACATGGATGTACTCGGATTATCGTTCCAAGGCCATGGTCTAGTTCGGTGAAGTCGCGATCCCCACCAAGAGGCTGATTGGCCATGCAGAGGTGTTTGGCTGCCACTACGGTCTTCCGGGGAAGACACGTGCGAATTGTTGGTAACATCAAGGTGCAAAGGATTAGAACTAGACACTAATGAGTCGTGGTTCCCATAGTCGCTTTGCGCGGCAGACATCTCTAAATCAGCAGTCGTGAATGGGATCCTCAAGAGTATTCCTCCACTACCGCTGGTACCTAGTGCAGAGAATGTAGAAGAGTAACGGTGGGAGCTAAAGAGGATATATACAGATGTCCAGCCAAGCCTTCAAAGCTTTATACTCGGGAATGCGGGCGATACGATGCGATGAGAGCTTGACAATAGTATGCTGTGAAGACATTTCTCGAAGTCGGCGTGGGAGTGTGTTAGGCACCGAGCGCGCTTGAGCAGAATGACCACCTAGCGGTATGCAACCTACCTTTCACCTTCCATATGATGCAGCGCTAGGCAAAGGGTGAGATAGAAGATCATCAATCAATCTACGAACATAAGAGTATCGTCTATACCACATAATACGAAAGTTACCGGAGTCATTGTGATCACCTTGTATCATCTCAAGGCCAACAGCAGAGCTATTCAGTAATTAAGAGTACGAATGACTTGCTGTTCTCGATAAGTCATAGAGGATTCTCTGAAAGAATTCGCGCCTAGAAGTCGACGATATGATATTTTTGAGAGCAACGAGCGACACATACCAAATCATTTTCACATAAAGGCATATCAGAGTAGAAGAGATATTGGTCAGATGCTGAGGGACGTCGTGTACACTGTTGAGAGGAGGAAGGAACGAGGAAGAGAATTTGAAGGTTGTCGAATTCGAGTCACGCCCACGCTTGTAACATAACACGTGCTCTGTGACACGGCGCGCGTTACACGCGTCACAAAAAGTTAATCAGTCTGCTTCATTCTGGACACCCTATAGTACACCCATCTTGGATATTAGTATTCATGTCGCGGCTTTGAATTCCACTTTCTTGGATATTGGAGCATATCGAATCCAATACCTCTGTTACTCTTGATACCTTTCACATTAATCAATACTCATCTCTATCGTTCAATACGGAGACATCAGAACGACTGCAAGCTCACCATTTGACTATGAACAGTGCAATCAAGGCCATCGACGCTACATCAATACATAGAATATCTTCTGGCCAGGTCGTCACCGATCTACCTACTGCTGTGAAGGAATTGGTAGAAAATAGTCTTGACGCAGGTGCTACGAACATCGGTGAGTATTCATGTTATTGGTGCATTGAATAAAGCTAAATTTAAGACTCAGAGGTTCGCTTTAAGGATTATGGACTTGAAAGCATTGAAGTGATTGACAACGGAAGTGGCATTGCTGAGGAAGACTACGATGCTGTTGGTGAGCACAAATGTTTCGAATCAATTCACCATATGGTTTCGCTACGCAGTTGATTGAAATTTTTGTCCCGTTCTGAATGAATACTCATGCGTATCTAAATAGCTTTGAAACATCATACGTCAAAATTGGAGACCTTCGAAGATCTCTCTTCAGTAACAACATTCGGTTTCAGAGGAGAAGCGCTCTCCTCAATATGTGCTCTATCTGACTCTGTCACTATTACAACTGCAACATCATCGACCGCTCCTATGGGCGCCATCCTCCAGTTGGATCGGAATGGTCGTGTCACTAGCCACAGTGGCAAAGTCGCTCGACAGGTACGAATCCAGTTGCAGAGTTTCCTACTCCAGTCGCTAGTGCTTATGCTTCATTACAGCGTGGCACGACAGTGACAATATCAAAGTTGTTCAAACCTTTGCCTGTGCGACGCAAGGAACTAGAGAGAAACGCGAAACGCGAGTACAGCAAAGTATTAAACATGCTCAACGCTTATGCCCTTGTGCCCTGTGCAACGGAGAATAAGGGTGTGCGTCTGACTTGCTCGAATCAGCTGAGTGGGTTAGTCTGCACCATCTCTTTCTTCCTAGCTCATCTGACCACAACGGGTTTTGACAGACGGAAAACAATTGCCTTCCGCACAGACGGTTCGCCTTCAATCAGAGCCTCCGTTTCTGCCCTATGGGGCGCTAAGTCATTGGATAACATCGTTGAATTGGACCTTGCATTCGAAGTCGAGACAGAGAAATCCGTAATCCGAAGGCAGGCGATCCTTGGTGATACTAGCAGGTCTATTCAGGTTTCTTCGTCAATCCCACATTAGACTGATTTCTATCATGCAGTCAGATTCATTCAGTTCATGTTCGTGGATTAGTATCCAAGTTCGCCGTTGGCGGAGGTAGAACGGGAACGGATCGACAGTTCTTCTACGTCAATGGACGTCCATGTACCCCAACTAAGGTTTGACCTTCGTCTCCCTTTCCAAGGTCTGACATTGATCTTATGAATAGGTACAAAAGGCGTTCAATGAGATATATCGAACTTTCAACGCGAACCAATCACCATTTATCATCGCGAATTTCATCATTCCCAAAGGTGAGTGTTGCTTGGAGTCACACACGCTTGCCGCATATGAAAATTTCCAACGTAGATTGTCTCGACATCAATGTCAGCCCAGACAAACGCACTATCTTCATTCACAGCGAGAATAACCTGATACAGGCCTTAAAGGTATTATACTCGCATATTTTCTGTCGGAATGAGCTAATTTGCAGCTGCAGGCGTCACTTGAAGAAACATTCTCACCTTCACGTTCCACGTTCAATCTAAATCAGACCCAGGCATCTCAGAAGGATTCTTTCATCAAACACACCAAGTCTAAAGAAACGCCTTTGTTCTTTCAGGACCATGATGACGACGAACCGACACAAGACAGCCCTCTCGGGGAGAAGGGACCCGTAGGCACGTTTGGTCTACCTGACTTATTGGTCAATTCTTCAAGCCTGTCTACCCCAACCACGTCACAAAGCATTACAAATGCTTTAGAATCGGGTATACCGGAGACCCAGGCCTCACAAGAGACTGTAGAGGATGTAGATATGCGGGGAGAAGAGCCTTCACAGAGCACGGACCTAATATTCCCAAGTGTGACCGACTTCGCTCCGGCAGCAGCTCGGGGGACTGCGCTCCCGGACGATGTTGACCTTAGGATAGAGGAAGACCTTACCCTGGTAACGAAAGATAAGACTGTTCAGGGTTCCTCTGCCATATCTACTACCGAGACCCATCAATCACCGTTGCTTGAAGACAATTTCTGTCACTCTCTTCCCGCTTCTCGCAGCGTGAGGCCTGCAGGGTCAACCAGTCCAGATTTGACCTCAAAAATGACACCTGAACCAGTCCAGATGGTGCTTAGCACCACTGATGCCTCTTGGAATCTGCGGAGAAGGACTGAAGAGACCTCCGACCGTCCTGCGAAACGTCACAAAACTAATCATGCTTCACATTCTCGTAACCAGTCGAACGCCGAAGCGAATAGAATGGGAGATTTGAGAAAGCATCTACTCGGATTTGCCAGAACAGGCAGCCAAATTGGTGTGGAAGACGAGGAGAACGTACGCCGGGCCCACGGTACTAGCGAGAGCCCCACGGTGGAGGGAGACGGTTTCGACCACGAAGTGCAAGAGAACAGTGAACATATGCATGGCGAACGACACGCCAATAACCCCCTTGACGACCATGACTCTATTCAAGCAGAAATGGATTCCGATTTCAATATGGACGAAGAAGCGCGGCATCCCGAGCCTCGTGAATTTGACAAGCCGATAATAGACATCACCGACGACGATACCGTGGAATCTCGTTCACACAATTCACAGGGCACTTCGTCCTCAGCGGCACAGGATTCTGCAATACGTCTTCCAGAGGTCATACGTACCGCGAAAGGAAACGATATTTCCATGAATCTAGACCTATCTCACCGTAGCGCTTCTTGGCGAGAACTAGAGGACCGTCTTGCTTCGTCACATGTTGTTCCAGATGAGGGAGACCCAGAGGATAGGGACATACTTTCAAAGGGAGCGGGGATTCAAAACGATGACGATAACGCACGGGATGCTTTATCGAGGATAATCGAGAAATCCGACTTCTTGTCCATGGCAATCATTGGGCAATTCAACAAAGGATTTATAATCGCTCGTCGGCGGAAAGAGGGCAGTACCGGAAGGTTGGTAATGGATGATCTTTTCATCATCGACCAACATGCTGCAGATGAAAAGTACAACTTCGAGCAACTGCAAGAATCAACGAGAATCGAGTCACAGAAGTTGATCCGGTGCGTACCCCCTGTCATCGGCTAGAAATACATCGTTGACAGTGTCTCGGCCATCGCAGACCTGAGGACATAGAGCTCGCGGCTTCTGATGAACTCCTTGCCATCGATAACATAGAAGTCCTGCGACAGAATGGTTTCGAGATCGAAGTGAACGAAGCTGCGGCGGAGGAGTACAGTCATCGTCTGCGATTGGTTGCGAAGCCAGTGAGCAAGGCAACAGAGTTTAATATGAAGGGTATATCGCCCGGCAGTCCATCTCATGCTCTTCACGCTGACGTCCGTGGTAGATCTAGAGGAACTTATACACCTGATGCATGACCAACCCCAGGGTCGCATGGTGAGATGCTCTAAAGCCCGCGCAATGTTTGCGTCTCGAGCTTGCAGGAAAAGTGTCATGATCGGTCACTCACTCCAATTACCACACCTAACGTCGGTGAGTCTCGCACCGAGGACCTACATTTTTGCGAGTAGCTGATACTCTTGGCGGAGCAGATTGTTCGACATATGGGAACAATGAGCCAACCGTGGAACTGCCCTCATGGAAGACCAACTATGCGCCATCTTTCGGATATCCTTCCTGTGGGAGGGAGTCCAGGCACGTCAAGGTCGGTCCGCAGGCGGATCGTTGACTTCGACACCCTTGACATTGGACTGGATGTGTAGGCGGTCCGGTCGGATGCATTCAACTTTATAGAGGCACCTTCTCTATTTTACGGTTGGTTCCAGTAATCGGCAACGAGGCTTCACCAATTGAATCGATCGATTTATTTCAGCATTTAATCGTGGTGATGGGCATTGCATCCAAAGTTACCGGTGATAGAAGCATGACAACCTAAATTCAGTAACCCCTGTGGTTGGAGACTACCAGTCTTCCACTCCAGCGTATCCCAGGATGTCAGAGCTATCGTAAGAACAGCAACCTGCCGGAACACTCACTTTGGGGCTATGTATCAAGTAGCACCACTTCGAGCTGTATATGCAAAACATCCCCAGCACGATTGCGGTGTTCTCACGCGGAGCCAAACGCCATGTTATAACGGGCCTTGGCTGTTGCGAGCATCGTCCGCATTTCCTCCGTGGCGGAAGCAGTTCTGCGTAGGATTTGGACTTGGTAAAGTATTTAGTTCAAGAGAAAGAAAAACCCACCGCTACTTATCGGGTGATGCTCTGAGCTAGTGGCGCGGTGCAACCAATGACTGCACAATGACGTGCATAGGATCAGCCGTCAAGCTCTCCGAGCCTGCGACATACCAAAAATGACGATGATAAAGATAGATTCTACGGAGATAGCGAGTCGTCTACTACAGCCCTGTGAGCAGAATGCGGAAATCCGTTAACGGAGCCAACGATGTGCAAAATACATAAACTCTTGCACAAATGGGTTCCCATGAATGAATGTGGATAACAACCCACTGAACAGATTTTTGAGATGGTACTAAGCGGTCTGACGGGAGAAACAATGAATATACCGCGAATCCGTTATCGCACCTATCGCGTCGAATCGCTACAAAGGACGTGACAAAGGTATTAGCTGGCCACTAAATTAGCGGACGTCTCCCAAGTTAAAATGTGCACCTGATGGTGTGCCGCGCAGCACCGTTTGTCAGTAATTGAAAGCCGCAGCAATGGCAATGGAGTTCCAAACGAGCGTACTCTGCTATCACAGCAGGCGTTGATACTGTTCATCATGCGTAAGCAAGCCTATGATTGGACGTGTGGTACGAAATACCTTGGCCTAATCAAATACCTGCCGAAGGTGGGATTGCGCTCTCACATCGTAAAGGGACGAGCGAGTGGAAGGTATATCCCTCTATCACAGGACCACGCCCAACCTGACGGTGGCGACGATCACCGGCTGACAAGATTTTTGGCTGTACCACCTGCCATCTATCTTCAGTCTCAAACCATCTGACGAGGTGCAAATGTAGCACACTAGTACGCGTGACGCGATATCTGTGCAAGAGCAACCTAAAGCATCCAAGTGTAACATAACGCACTACTGACCCATCCGTTCAGATGATAGGCGTATGATGTAGCGCATTGCGACTTGGATGATTTGTAAGTTATGAAATGCATTAGTTAACATCTAAGCATTAGCAGAGAAATGAAACTTGAACGTACGACCTCCCCCTGGCTCAGATCTCCGAGTGCTCTACGGGGCGTGGACCACGGGGGGTGCAATACATTTAGCACTATTTCGTCCTTGGTCTTGTCACTTCGGGCAATTCCCACACAACATGAAGCGTGGAAAGGATGGGTTCTGGGACGACTTGTTGAGCCTATCATGAGGCTCAGAAGGCCAACTTCCGTGTCTGATGCGTGGGATTAAGATTCGAGGAAGTGCTAGACGTTAAGCATGTCCGTAATTTCCTTTAACAGTGTAAACATGGCATCCAGCGCAGAGGAGTGTCTGAATGGAAAGCGAGGTTGTAGACCAGTCTTTCTCATTCGCTATGGCTGACGCCTCAACTACAACCCGCATCCCAGAAGACGCTGTATTTGAGCAGTACATCTCAATAGCTTCGGCAATTGCGGTTTACCAGGTCAAACAGCGTCATATCATTCAGATACAAATACAGATTGATCTGTTCATATGGCAGCGCTGTAGGCATTGCACTTTTGAAGTCTAAGATATGAAGGAAAGTTTAGATTTAAATACGATTAAATACGACTATATGCAAGACACACCGCAGACCAGACAGGTGCCAGTGCCAGCGAAGTATTTGTTGGATTTCTCAGAGGTCTGAGAAAATGACTGCGCATTCCGGAGGGCCCAAAAAACCTGATGGTAATAGTCCAATGGGCACACTTACGTAAGGTATCACTACGGTCGAGCTCTCTGGCAGGCACATTTCGTCTTCACCAACATACGGAGTACTCGTGTTTCTGTAATGAAATAGAACGGCTATGCATTGTTAGTCGTTTCGTGCGTGCGCGCGGTCTGCAGGTTTAGGGTGATTGGCTTCAGGTTGCCCCTCTCGTGTGGCGGGTGACCATCCGAATCTACACACGAGTCGGCTGAAATGACATGACCCGTAGAGACGTTTAATAGACTAATACTCAATTTCAGAACCAGGGGCACATATGGGTGTCAGCGTTTGTGACATAAGAGACTGCAACAACAGATTCTGATCCCAGGATCTTTTGCGCTCAAAGGCAGCAGCCAACGGATGGTCACCCACCGACGAGTCAGCGACGTAGCTCCGTCCGTAACTTAACACAGTAGCATTTAGTGCTGGGTTTTTCTGTGTGCCTCCGGCCCCATGTGTTCAAGTTTGTGCGGTTTCAACGTAGAACTAAGCAACGCTGGCCGGTAAGAATACCATTCAGGAAACTGATACGAAGCAGTGTAATGCCCAAGAAGCCCGGAAGAAATGGTCCGCACTTAAATTTTTGTGTGCAAACATTAAGCCTCCTCCCTAATGCCGCTCCAACGGGGTCTCAATGCAAACCGAAAGTAGTGAAGTCACAAGATAACGCGGAAACTATTCAGCGCTCGTCTATCTTCCGAAGTGAGAGGCGCATAAGGGACAACGTTGCGACCTGAGGCGGTAGGCTGTCCACCGGATAACGGACGAGATAGATGAACCGGGGCGATGCTTGCCAACCTTGGGAGTGATGCATTATTCTGCTGAGTGAAATGCTCAGGTGCGAATGGGGTAGAGGTGAAATGATGGTTGCTGACGGGCGACCCGGAGGATGAAGAAGAAGAAGATAAGGGCCTCTGGACAGCTGTACTCAAGCCGGTCGTAGCGATCGCTGGAGGCCAAGACGGTGATGTCCATCCTGGTGTGCCAGCGTTCTTGAAAGGATCATTATCATTGTCTTCAGACAAAATGCGAGTGAGTTTCCCAATGTTACCCTTTGCTGATGAGTATATTGCGTCCGGAACACGGATGTTGCGAAGGTATTCATAGTTCTCCATGACAGGCAAACGAGTGTAGTCATCACCCTGAGAGAGGTCAAGTCAGTAAAAGGGTAGGTCAATGAGGCGTAGTGAAGATATACCGAGAAGTAGGCAACGATATGCCACTTGCGAGGTGGTTCTGAGTTACTAAAGTGGACGTGAGTGGAATACGTTTGTTTGGTGAGGCCATCTGGCTTGGATGGACGATCTTGGCGTCGGGTGGGAGCTGGTTGATAAGCAAAAGGATCCAACGTCTTTCGCGCTCTATATTGAGCAACGGGTTGACAATCGTGTCTCGCCAAGTCAAACTCATAGGGCAGTACTCACCGACGAGCAGCCTTGGCTTCCTTTTCCTCTGGTGTCGTCTCAATCTTCTCTTCGTAAAACAAGTAGTCACCCCGCATTCTGCTTTGTGACCTTGGGCCATGAATATATATGAGTTAAGATGTGCGGTGGAGATGACATCCTCACCATCGCCGTCCATCCGTCCATCTTTCTAAGCCACCTACGAATGTGCAACGTCAGTCAATAAGCCGGGTCTCTGTGTTTTCCTGGTTCGCACCTTGTTTGTGCTCAGCCTCTTCCCACACAAAGACGTTGCCAGAGGTCAACTGCTCTCGCTCAATGGCAGTAAGGCGTCGGGTAACAAGCGGTAGGATTTTGAGACGGACGGCCTCAAAAACAATATGGGCGTCCCTGGCATCTCGTAGGTCTAACATAGCTTTTATGAGCTGGGTGAGGGGATCATAATGGTGCAGTGGGCATACGCAGGGCAGGGTGTGTTGCGGCACTTTGTACGTGTTGGGGGCGAACCGAGAATGAAGTAGCAGACATTGGTTGCAACGTCAGGAGAAAGACGCGGGAACTAGTGGGCCTTGGATTAGACTCCACCCGAGGAACTTTATACAGGGGAAATGGGGATTCGGAAGATACCATAGCCCATCTACTCATGCCGAATTAAGTATAACCCCAGAAAGTGAGAAGAAGTCCAGGGGTGGAGATGGGGAACCAAGATCTTCAAGATCAGAAGATCGGTACTATATTAGACAGTTACGGCGGGCAGGCTTTTTGACGTTGCGGCGATTTTTCAATGCCCTCTATAGGATCCTTGATACGGCATAGGAACCGGGCACGAGAGCTGACGTCTGCACATGTCCAAATATTGAAGTGTCCAGTCGGAATACTTCTAATATCGGAATCTCCGAGGTTTCCAAAGTAGTCGGCTGTGAAATGTGCATTCATCAGTCCAGAGTCGCTTTCGACCTAAGTTGTAACAGTTACCTCCTAGGTGGTCAAGTGCGAATTTCCATGATCAGAAACCCTTATTGGTCAGGCCACTATCTGATTTTCGCAGGCGCATCCCAGACATGCTCAAATTCTGGTCGTGCAGGTTGCAAAGGGGCAACTTCGGTTTCCGGGGTTTCGCCTGAGTTCGCGACAGCGACCTTGAATTGAATTAGTGATTGTAGTTCGGATCTGATTGGAGAATTTCAGCATGGTTTCTTCGTCAAAAGCACAAGCTACTCACCGAGATAGACGTGACGGTGCGCCATTAAGAAATTAGACGTGGCGAGCTAACACGCCGCTTCCACAATTTCATCTCGATCGGCGTTCCTCAACGAACCACCGACCATACGTTTCAATAGTCAGAAGATGTGATGCCGTGATTAATGTTCCATGAACTCAAACAACTTCGATAGACACCTCGGAAATCTACGCAGACAATTGTATTGTGTTCTGTGGATCTTCGCATGGCATGTACGGAGTACGTGGCTCCAGGGGCATTGCGGTGGTAGTATAAGATGAATAGCTTTACGACTTCTCCAGTAATCTCCGGTCGTTTGGCGTTGAGAATCTCTGATGCGAAGTTTGCCATTTCACCGAGGTGCAAGTACGCGGAGATCCCACGTCACTTGGGAACCCGACGATGTACTTCGCGAGCGAACTACTAAGTATCGATGCTCCGTCGTTGTTTGCCCTTGCAAAGAATGGCGGTTTGGATATGAACATTCGCGAAGTCTGATGAAACAAGAGTCAGATGCGGGAAGTTCCACAAGCTCGTATCACGCACACTTCTCACTTGTATAACAAATAGCGGCGAGCGTCTGAGACGAAGAATAGAGAACAGAGAGAGAAAGGAGAGGATGTGGAAGATAATTGCCAAATAATTCAATCAGCATGTTGATTACTCATGACATCTCTGCCGGAACGAGCAATAAGGATTTGTCCAAACGACTGTGATTGAGTCCAAATGATTAGTTGGGGCACTCGGTATGTGTCAAAGGGCAGAGAAACACCTGAAGGAGCGTCATCACTATTCGTCTCTTCCGTTCCTAACAGAGGTGGTGACACTTACTATTCATCTAAGCGTCGTATCGAGGAGCACACGTTCGGCACCGATGAGTATGCAGTGGAGCTTCAGGCAGATGATGAAATCACCGTCTCGAATACGCAGCCTAACCCAGATCTCTTCCATATCTGGTGTCTTAGCGCAAGTGCGCTATCGACAGTTTCCGCTCCAGCAACAGGGGTCGTGGCATCGAGCGTCGGTCCCCAGTTCTGAGAGACTCTGTTTAGAAGCCAAATGATGCGCAAAGTTCATAATCAAAGAGCCAACCTGTCGATGCCCAACGATAAGAGTGCAACAGCGGAATAGCTTCCGAACGTTATAGCAAGCATTTATAGCCCGATTTTCCCAGGGGTAGGACGAGCTGTCAGCGTGGCCATAGTGTTGAGCTAGGTGTGAACTGGACACCTATGCTGGGCTGTCATGAGACACCTGTACATACGATGAGAACTGACTGCGGGACTTAATGTCAAAGAACCTCGGTCAGACGAATCCGTGGCGCCTGCCAAGTCATGGATCTGCGCGACCTCAACAAGGTTGAAGAAGGAAGAGCGCTTGAGGAAACGAAGCGGAGCAGACAACTAGATATTGAGGCAAGCTCAAATAAAGGAACACTGGAATTGAGGTTTTCTTGATATTCGAAAACGCATGAAATAGACTCACCTCACAATCGGCGACAAGCGTGATCAGATGCTTGAAACCATCAGGATGAGAGTCCAATCGGCATCAATATAGGAAACATAGCACTGGGAGATAATTTCACTCTGGTTTAGAACGAAGCCAGTCATGCTCATTGAAGGGTGATGGGAATGAAGAAAATGCAGGAAAGGAAAATGCGAGGAAAATGGTTGGCAAGAGCGAAGACTTGCTAGCCGCAAACAACCTTCAAGATTTGCCGGGGGGTATGGTCCCAAAAAGGCAAGTCCTTAGATTCAAAAAAGATTGATACTTGTTGAGTCGTCGCTGTACGCAACTCAAACAAAATGGAAAAATTCCGGCCATAGAGCATCGTCTTCGTCAAATCGCTCTCTCCCGCGCACAGAAATACTCTCCAAGGTCTGTTGCAAGTTTTGGAACTTCACAATGGGTGATACTTTATTCCTTTCATTCGGAGTCGGACAATCATGTCTAAAATTCTATCACGAATGAATTGCGTAAGGCAGAATAAAGGTCTTCCAAGAATACTACAGTCTCTCTGTTGATAGACTCAAAGTCAAGGAGGTACTTATAAGAGGGTACGATTATGTCGTCTTCTTCATTATCAACAAATCGGAGCTCCAGGCCTTAGCATCATTTTCAACTTCTGTGGGAATCAGAATGTAAATGTTATCAAAGATTCCTGGTCGTAAATCTTCATAAAGGAGTTCAGGTTCTTAACCCGTGAATTACTATGCCGAGTTGTTAACCGCGGTTAATGGCCACTGTTGATATACCAGGTGAACAATCTGGGCATTTTTCAAACAACTCTAGATAAATCCAAAATAGGACTCACAACAGACTGGAAGTTACCTGATGTACTTCCATGCGTTCATAAGCAACATGCAGATACATATCGTGGTGGATTCATCGAATTTCCGAAAAATCTGTGGGTACGCCGTATTTGGGTATTTGGTAATATTTTGGTATCGAGCGCTCCGATGACTGCGTACTGTTCCGACTCCCTTGATCCAGTCATTCGGACTTGTCATCTACATTGCTGATCAGCGTAGCCAATTTTGATTCAAAGACATTGAAAAATTTGTATCATGTCTCTGCAAGAGTCAGGTTCTGGCGGTTTAGTTGTCACGGAGGAGCTTCAAAATCTTCTCCAACGCCCTGGTTACATCCGAACGTCAGCGGGAGGACAAAGAATACGAGACATCTACGTTACGTGCATGTATTTTCCAGTGTTCCGACTGTGACGTATATGCTTACTGATTGAATCACTCATTATGCAGTATCTGCGAAGTTCAATGCACGTTTATTGAACCCATTCGCGCAGGCGTGTTACTGGGGAAACCTGGAAGTTGTTATTCGGGTATATGCTACCTGCTTTCATATCGTCCTTCTCCTCATGTTCACATGATAGGCCGTTGAACTCGGCCAAGCGCCCGATCTTACTAGTGCTGAAACACCTTTCAAGTTCGGGTATGCCACACTCGTGGTGGCAGGTGCACAAAGAACCGTTCTTGCTCCTGGCGGGATGCGGCACACCGATACCTTGAAATATCTTCTAAATAAAGGGTGTCCTCCAGACGTTGAAGACATCGTAGGATATACCGCGCTCCATCATGCAACTCAGAAGATGTACCAGCCGGAACTGGCTCGCCTTCTGCTGGAAAATGGAGCAAACGTCAACCATCGAAACAGATACGGTGAAGTGCCGATATTTGGGTAAGAAAAGTGTATGACTATATTTTCCTCTCGAGAAGCCTCTAATTTAAAAACATAGCTGCTTCCAGACGGAGATTATTGGTGCCATCGAACTTCTTATGGAATTTGGAACCGATCTCGATACCCCCGACGCCCAGGGCTTAACCCCAGCAAAGTTCTTCTTGCAATGTGGGCCCAGAGTGACCGCGGCGGTGACAAAGTGGCTTCGCAAACGTCGCGGCGAAGAAGCTCCATTGGACGAGAAGAAGTGTAATTCATGTGGGAAGGCCGACACTAGTCTGAAACAATGCGCCAAATGCCATGCCGCTCGATATTGCTCCACTGAATGCCAAAGTCTGATAATCTATCTTTGTTGTGATGCGAGCCGACGATTCATGTTTGATTTTCAGGAAGACACTGGCCAACACATAAGCTGACCTGTCGGCCATTCTCCACCGAGAACACAGTCATCCTCAAACCGATCTATCGTGACGCTCCTGGTGCAACCCTCATGTCACCCTCTGACCTCACTCGTAAGGCTCTCGGAATGGAAACTCAACCAAGACCTGCCCGTAACTCGCGATTCTCTCATGCTCCGTCGACGTTCCCGAAATCGATGGTGATCAAGGTCCAAGTACCCTATGGCTTCGGCACTTCCGCAGAAAGTTCTAAAGGAGACCTTCTGATCTACACTAAAAAGCGAGACTTCGTTTGCATGGTGCAGTGGACCGACGAGCCTCAAGCCTACGACAGGATCAGCCACGTCGTACGAACCAAGGGCGTTGGCGGTGCCAAAGCATATTTTCCGGCCGAGCTTAGGAGCGCAGACGTTCTGGTTGTGAAAGTCGACGAAGTGCTGGCAGAGCAACCGTTCTAGTTCAGTTCTTGGTGACTGTATTTATTTTGTTTTGTGATGTGATGTTGTTGTATAATCGCATGTTTTATAGCTACAGTGGAGCTGGCACCTGTATCTCGATATCTTCCTCCATGCAGCTCGTTCATTTCAGTCTTGACCGTTTCGGGCAGATTGGAGTTTGGTCTCCGGTTGACCTGACATCCGAATCGTTCCATTTATACACTTGAGGCATAAATGTACCCCACTGAGCACGGTGCACAAGAGCACTCTGCTGGCAAATCTCAGTGAAGCGCTTTATGCGGAAGGAGGCACGTTCGGACATGGCTGTTCTCCATTTCGAATGGATCTGAGTACTCACACCTGCCATTCGGATCGTCGATGGCTCGTGAGTTCGTACAATGGGCGGCGTCGGTAAGGACAACAAGCTCGGATCGTCAACAGCGCATAGCTCACCGACGACGATCCGAGCCCTTTATCCTTCCCTCCCATCCTTCGACCTGAGAAACATCCGCAGCGTTGAAATCTATAAAAGCAGGGCCATTTCTCCACTTGAAACTTCATCAATTCTCAAGTCTCACAAATACCCACCACCACTCATCTATACACCTTTACTCGTCGAAAAGTTATCACATCATGCGTTCTTCCACATTCGCTTCTCTCATCGTCCTCAGCGTTGGTTTGGCGACTGGCTCGCCAATCAGCGTTGACCGTGCCCATAACGGCATTGCCTCCACCGATGCCAGCGGGTCTGGCTCTGTCTATTTCGACATCAATTCGAAGAGGGACCATCTGCCAATACCTGACTTACCCACTGCTACTCTTCCAACCGGCACCGTCCCTTCTTCTCCAATTCCCTCGTCCGCGGTGCCGTCCACTCCTGGCTCTAACGGGACAGATAGCACACCTGCCGAGGCTGAACCCAAGGCTTACGGTAGCTGGGCTACCGGCGGAAGCAAAAATACTACCACGACAGCTCAACCATTCACAGAGACCTCACCTTCATCCGAGAAGGAGTCGACACCCGCGAAAGGTACCGAGGGTGCGAAGGGTATTCGAACCGAAGACACTAACAGTGTCAAACCTTCGCCTACTCATGCGGATGATTATGCAAAGACGGAAGAGCTTCCGGTTCCGAGCCCTTCCATTTCCCTCCCGACCACTGTTGATCAGGCGAATGAGGACCCTCATCATCCTACCACACCCCCTGATCAGACCAGCCCAGACATCCACGGCGCTGATGGTGACGAAACCGGAGACGACGATGACGAGGCGCATGTTTATCATGGAGAGAAGGATGAGAAATTAGAGATACCTACCATCCCTAACACCCCGTCCCCTGATATCCCCCTTCCTTCACAAAACCCCACTTCTTCTCTGCCGAAGGTCGAGATTCCGCATATTGCTACTCCCAACAATAAGTCTTCCGAGCCCGAGAAGGGAACTTCTGAGAGCGACGACTCGAATCAGGGGAAGGAACTTGATGATTCTGACCAGGAGAAGAAGGATTAGGATTTATCGTCTCTTCCCAACCAGATGTCGACACCAGTAGATGACTAGAAAGATGCTTTAGTCTAGAGCTTGTGCTGGTCATGAGCAAACGTCTTCATAGCACCAAATAAATAAACAGTTACTTCATCCGTCTACATTCAGTGTGGCAATGATGACGATACCAACGACTTACCTCAAAGTATCTTCAACACTTTGTTTCGATGTCAAAGTGCAACTTAGTTGATAATTGAATATTTCGGCATTAGACCAGTGTAGCTAAAAACAATGCACTGGTAGTTACGATACTGTCAACATCCGAAGCTTCTATGTGCCCGAATCACGGCGATTAGAAATGGATAGCCTTGTCATATGCAGCCATGGCAGCCTCCTTGAACGCCTCGCTGAGCGTCGGCTGTGGAAAGCAACTGTCAGATCGTAAAACAGAACAAAAGACGAGGTGACACGAACATGAGCGTGGCAAGTGCGGGCAATGTCTTCGGCACTGGCACCGTACTCAACGGCAAGTACACCTTCCGCGATCATCTCACCAGCATTGGGGCCTATCTCTAGTGTGAGCTCTGTTTCCCTTGCAACAGTGATAAGAGATTTACCGATGATGTGAACACCAAGCACGCGGTCAGTCTCCTTCTCCGAGATGAGCTTGACTAGACCCTCGGTATCGAGGACTGTCTTCGCACGCGAGTTGGCAGCGAAGGGGAACTTGCCAATATTGTACTGGACACCAGCTGCCTTCAGCTCCTGCTCGGTCTTGCCAACCCAGGCGACCTCAGGATGTGTGTATACAACTGAGGGAATCGCGAGATAGTTGACATGACCATGGCCGCTCTTGATATACTCGACAGCGGCAATACCTGGAAAGTAAATCAGCATATACTCAGTGATGATGCATGTGAGTGCGCACCTTCCTCCTCTGCCTTGTGCGCAAGCATAGGTCCAAAGGTGACGTCGCCTATGCACTTGATGCCCTGAATGGTGGTATTGAATTGGTCGTCGATCACCACGCGGCCTTTCGTGTCCAACTCTACACCAATCTTGTCAAGGTTGAGACCCTCGGTATAGGGACGACGGCCGACAGCAACAAGGACAACGTCTGCTTCGAGCTACAGTGGACTTAGGCAAGGTGGACCAAATGTCAACAATGGTCACCTACCGTATCCTCCTTTCCACCCTTCGCGGACTCCGTCTTGATGTACACCTTGCCATCCTTCTTCTCAGCCGAGAGGACCTTGGTGTTCAACAAAAACTTGAGGCCCTGCTTCGCCAGCGATCGCTGGAATTGCTTCCTGCGATGCCCATGAGTAACAACCCCATACTTAATCCACGTCACGACTCACGCCATCTCCTCGTCGAGACCAGCGCCCCCGATGGCACCCAAGAACTCTACTACCGTCACCTGCGCACCTAAGCGACTCCAAACGCTGCCCAATTCGAGTCCGATGACACCACCGCCAATGACGACCATCTTCTCAGGGACCTGCGGCAATGAGAGGGCACCCGTCGAGCTTACAATTTGTTCCTCATCAATCTCAATCGCGCCGCCGGGGAAAGGCGTGACGTCAGAACCCGTCGCGATGATGATGTTCTTTGCCTCAACTTCTGCCTCCCCACCCTCATTCAGCTGCACTGAAAGACGAGTAGGTGACAGGAAGGATGCGGTTCCCTTGATGTAGTCGACCTTGTTTTGCTTGAAGAGGACCTCAATACCCTTCGTGAGACTGGTTACGGCGTCTTCCTTTGCCTTCAGCATTTGTGAAATGTTCAGGGAAACATCGGAGACTGGATATCACTTAGTTGTATAACTTGCTCGCCCAGAACATCTAGTCGTCGTACCTTCAATGCCCCGACGTTGCAGATCAGTTTTTGTCTGGTGGTACAGGTGCGAGTTGTGTAGCATTGCTTTTGAGGGAATACAGCCGACGTTTAAACAAGTACCACCTAGGGCTCCGCGTTTTTCGATGCATGCTGTCTGTAGAAGTATTAGCGTAACAATCAGGAAAATAGTGAAACCACTCACCTTCAGACCTTTCTGAGCAGCTTTGATCGCAGCTACGTATCCTCCGGGACCTATGACGTATATTCAGATTATAGCCAGGCTACAAATCGAATCAAAGAAAGAGAGTACAGTGCTTGGCCGTGTAGCATTGCATCACCAGAGACCACCGAAGCTACACTCGTCGAACAATGAGACCTCCAAGCAGGCCTATACCCCAGTCTATAACCCATGCCCCCGTGCAAGAGGGGTATTCACAAATGTTTTGAGTGTTCAGAAAATCTGCAAGGCAATAGCACACATGCACGCCAAAGAATACTCGCAGACACACCAGAAACGCAGGAACTGCATACTCACCCCCACCAATAATTACAGTGTCATAAGGCTCGGAAGCTGTTGCCAACCCGCGACGAGCAGCGTGCCATGTTGCTGGTCTCAAACGACGAACCAGAGTCTACGGTGCATATCCTTCAGTACGGATTGACTTCCAAGAACGAGACATACTCGTTGTGAAGCCTTTTGAACTCGCAACATGATGATATGGGACGAAGAAAGATGACGAACCAAACGGACAGAGTCGGGGATCGTCACGTTTACCGCTGAGATGGTGACGTGACCACATGTGACTATCATCAATGTCACATCCTGCCTGCAGCTGCCACGGCAAGCACGACCCTATCTGCCCGTTGGGCAGAATGTATGCAGATGGTCGGGCGGTTTGCCATTTCGCACGTCAATCTGACCACCCGGAAAACCGGAAAATAAATTCTGAATTTGCACAAATATTTGTATGTCTGGTAGATATGTTACAGTAAATACAGAATACAGTATTGTCTATTGGAAGATTTAGTCTTTGTAATAGGATTTGCTAAGGCAACAGATTATTTAGCATACTTTCTATTGTGATTGAATTTTGTCAAGGCGGTAGAGTTGAAATATGTTCACCTGACAGAATTAATATTTGCCCATGCAGCAGATTGTGATCGGCCAATAAAAATATGATTCTTCAATCTGCTAGCCTGGCAGATTCAAATTTGATCAAAGTCTTCTGGACATGCACAATAAGAATCTGCAGGATGTTCATACTGATCTGCAAACTTAGAAATGTTCTATTGTTCTGATCAGCTAGCGAATTTTATTGGATATATTCTTATTATTGTGCAGCAGTAGATTTTGAATTTGAACCTCCATCTGCAGACAGAAGAAAGTGAAAGGTAAAATCTAAATTATATATTGTATTTACTCAGTGATCAGATCAGCATGTGAAATGGCAAACCACCCGACCATCTGTATACATTCTGCCCAGCAAGCAGATAGGATCATGCTTGCCATGTGTCTGAGTACAGTATTCACAGCAGAGCAAGTAGGTATGCCTCTCAAGTACTCATTTCAATATTCTAGGATTTTCTGCAATTGCATGCAACTATACAGTGACTCACAAAATCTTTTCAATATTTGTCAAATTTTGCTTTCATGGGCAATATCTTCTCACTGAGAAAGAACATCAAAGTGCCATTATATAGGCTGAATGAATAGTGTCTTGGCTCCAATTATCACTCTGGGTCATGTGATTTCATCCAGAATTGGCAGAGATACTTGAATTGCAAGAGGCACTACTCATTAAAAGGATTTTGTTGTGCGCTATTCTACCAAATGAAAACTTGAAATTTGAGTACTTGATAGAGTTTTCTCTTAATTTAAATTAGTGTGTAGACCTACCAAGGGATGCTCCAAATTGAATGAGAACAAGCCTTCTTTGATATAACCTCTTATTTCTTCTGCATTCTCTTCTATTGCTTTGATATCTCTTTTGATAATATTCTCAGTTCTCCAAGCTTTCTTCTCAAATGATTCCAAGAACTGTTAATGAGATTGATTTCAGAGGACTGAATTGAGTATAGAGAAACCTCAAACTCATAACTTTTCAGTTAGTTCTTAGCATTTTTTAGAATATTTGTTTTGCTGAAAGTCAATACTCTTAAAATGTTTCTATAATATCTCAGACACTCTCAAAGTTTATCATTGAGTGCATGTGTATATAGATTAACATTGATAATGTTTTCATGATTTATCATATATCTCACTTTCATTTATTGTCTACACCTCCTACACACACTTTTCAATTCTAACTATACTATGCTGAATATACTAAACTCTGCCATGAAGTATTAGAAGTGAAGCCAAAATTACTAGAGATAGTTTCTTCATATATATAAGATTAGTATTAGTTGTCTGAGATTAAAAGATTGAAAGTCAATATAAAAAAAGGAGACAAGAAATGTAAACAATAAGTTCTTACAAAGTATAGCTACAATTAAAAAGTTTGTGTAGGAGGTGTAGACAATAAGTAAAAGTGAGATATATGATAAATTATGAAAACATTATCAATGTTAATCTATATACACATGCACTCAATGATAAACTTTGAGAGTGTCTGAGATATTATAGAAACATTTTAAGAGTATTGACTTTCAGCAAAACAAATATTCTAAAAAATGCTAAGAACTAACTGAAAAGTTATGAGTTTGAGGTTTCTCTATACTCAATTCAGTCCTCTGAAATCAATCTCATTAACAGTTCTTGGAATCATTTGAGAAGAAAGCTTGGAGAACTGAGAATATTATCAAAAGAGATATCAAAGCAATAGAAGAGAATGCAGAAGAAATAAGAGGTTATATCAAAGAAGGCTTGTTCTCATTCAATTTGGAGCATCCCTTGGTAGGTCTACACACTAATTTAAATTAAGAGAAAACTCTATCAAGTACTCAAATTTCAAGTTTTCATTTGGTAGAATAGCGCACAACAAAATCCTTTTAATGAGTAGTGCCTCTTGCAATTCAAGTATCTCTGCCAATTCTGGATGAAATCACATGACCCAGAGTGATAATTGGAGCCAAGACACTATTCATTCAGCCTATATAATGGCACTTTGATGTTCTTTCTCAGTGAGAAGATATTGCCCATGAAAGCAAAATTTGACAAATATTGAAAGGATTTTGTGAGTCACTGTATGCCCTGTGGCCTAATAGCACTGGCCTGATACATATTAATTTCCTGGAAAAATGCCAGTAAAAAAGCCTACCTCTAGATTAACTGTAGTAAAGATGATGATGGTTGCCCGCTAATGAAGTTCACCATCTTTAATAGCCTTAATAATTTCTGAGACATAGAAATACAGTAGAATTAATAGTATAACTTATGAAACAAAAAATGTAACTATAAGCATTTCACAGTCTAGGAGCCTGATATACAATTTAGTCAAAAATATTATTTATTATAACAAGAAATCTCGGCAGTATTGTCACTGTGATGATCTTAAATGTTCCTTGCCCAAGGCCAGGAGGAGATCTAAGAGCCTTGTCATCTTGCAATCTTCTCAGATTCTATTGTACAAGTATTGGATGAAACTAGTTGATAATTACTACCTCTAATAGGTGCATTGCATTTAGGATATCTAGACTCCTGCATTGCTCTACTGCACTAATTACCTCTAATTTCAATTAAAGTGATATATAAGAATATAAATTTGCTTACCTCTGTTATAATAAAAGTATGTCCATTCTCACAATTATAGAAATAGCCATAATGTGCTAGTGAATATTCTGATTTGCAAAAATTTTCAAGCCAAGAATTATGGCACTTACTAAACTGAGCTCTAAAGGATTTAACAATGTCCTCATATTTTTGTAGTGAGAGTGAAAGATAGACACCATCTTTCAGCAAGAATTTCTCCAACTTGTTGCATTTCTTATACTAGAGCTCAAGTTTCTATCTGCAATTTATATCAGACTACTGATGTTCTATTTGTAGATCTTTCATATCCTTGCTGAATATAGTGCAGATTATACTAAAGTTCTGCTTTCTTCTTTTACAAAGCCTTGGCTAAATTGTATTGTGCATTCTCATTAGTTGTGCTATCTGAAAGAGCTTATTTTATTTATAAATTAATGCAAAATAAGTCTCTTCAATATCTGCATGTAAAGTGTACACAGATAAATACGTAGCTTAATGAGATGCAGAAGATTGCTTGATCAGTGTAAATATCTTCTTTGCATTATTGATACAAGAGCAGAGGAGGAAATTATTGAAGAAATACTATACAGTGCAATAACTGACAATACATTCATCATTGGAAACTAAAGATAAACTCTCAATTCTATTAAAGATAATATTAGTTAGAAAATGGATTTTCTACAGAGAAGGTTCTGAATAAGATATTATATCAGGACTTCTCTATTATTTATTTAGAGTGGAGTTTGGATTTACCTTGTAGTCTGACTAGCAAATTAATCTAACTAGTTTATATCACAAGGAGCATGCAAGATCAAAGTTTAGTGAATTCTAAGCTAGGTTGCTTAAGAATTTACAAGAGTAAGATAGAGTAAATAAATTCAATTGAGGCTAGATATAATAGTAATATATAATAATAAGACTTTAAACACTAGATTGTAGTGCAAAGCCTTGGGTGCACTAGATTGTAGTATAATTATAGAAGATAAAAGATAATAAATAAAATAGACACTTAATTAAGACTAAAGACTAGAACTGTTCAGAACTTGAGAGCTAAATATTAGGGCTAGAAACTGCCCTCAAGGGGGTATATTTATATATAAAGCATAAGAAGGCTGTGCACTACTTGAAACAAACTGAGAATATTATAAAATGCACTGAGACTAAAGTAAAACAAATAAACTGAAGGTGAAATATAGAAGCTTACCTGATAAAATATGAATTTGACACTAGAACTCTTGCTAAAACTTTATTCTATATTCTAGAACAACCTATTCACTTCTAGGCCCTTTCTAGAAGTTTCTATAAAGTTCTATACTTATTAACTATGCTTGGCACTTATTAATCTAGTGTGAACTGAACTTGACACTTACTGACCAAGTGTTTTAAGATTATATAATCAATCTTAATTATACATTATATATTCTTCAATGTATTTAGAATTGTCAGTGTCTAGATCAGTTAGTAGGCTTATATATGCTTACACTATCTTATTTGAGCCTTCCATCTTATCTAAATATATAGTTAAGAAGATTGCTAATGACTAAGTAGTCTTAATCAATATCAAGTCTTGATATGACACTCTTAAACCTTATATCTGTCTCTTAGAAGCTACATAAGATTGATCTTAAAGAATAAATACTGATATATGCAGTTACTATTTAATGAATCTTTTAATCTGTCTTTGACTAGTCTAATATACTAAACTATTTTAGATTCTTAAAATAGTTTGTATACTTGTCTAATGCTTGTACTATTCTTTGTCCTCTAAGAGATAAAGAAATCATATAGAAAAATCTTCAATTTTACTGCAAAAAGGATTCAGTATATGTAAGAGTACTAATCTATTTCTTTTGTACCTATCATTGCTTTCATTATTAGGATATCTCAATAGAGAATCTGTAGGCCACTTTCTTTGATAAGAATATTATAATGCCAATTGTATACATCTTTAGAGTCATAGTAGTAGTCATTATTATATTTCTTAGGCTAAAGTTCAAATAACACTATAAAGATCAATCCAGTAGTGATATAACAGAGACAGTTTGAGTCTCAATAGTGTCTTCTTCTTTTGATGCTGTAGAATCTATATACTCACTTGTTTTGTCACTCATTTGTATTCTCATTTGTCATATCAATTATATCACTCTTTTTCTTGAAATATGTATACTTAGAATGCAAAGAATTTATCTATATA